GGGCCTTTTGACAAAATCTCTAGCTTAAAATAAATATATCCTTACACATATGTATAGTTGGTTGCCTATCAATCCTACAAAATTTCATAAATTCTAGTTGACTTACATTAATTTTTTTTTTTTTTTTTTTTTTTTTTTTTTTTTTTTTTTTTTTTTCTCTTAGATGTCAGATCATGGAGAGGCGCAGATGCGGCCAGTGATCACTACCTGATGATGGCCGAAATTAGATTCAAAATAGCTAGGAATAGAAAAGAACTGAACAAACCTATTCGAAAAAAGTTCAACATTGAGAAACTACAAAATAACGAGACGAAAGTAGAATTCGCACGACAGCTGAGATCCAAAATCGACGAAAGACAGGACAAAAATTGGGAAACGATTAGCAAAGCCCTTGTGGAAACAAGTGAAAACGTGCTGGGCCTAAAGAAAGACGTAAAGAAAGAGTGGATTACGAGAGAAACGTGGAACAAAATAGAACGTCGCAAACACATTAATCTAGAATTACTAAATTCCAAGACAGCAGCAGAGAAGAACCGACTTAGAGAAAGTTATAGAGAAGCGAATAAAGCTGTCAAGAAGGCAGCAAAGAAAGACAAAAGAAAGTGGGCAGAAAATCTTGCCGAAGAAGCGCGAGTCGCCGATGAACATCAAAACATGAGACAATTATATAATATCACTAAACAACTAGCCAATAAAAGATATACTACCCACCAACCAATTGTAAAAAGTGCTACAGGTGAAGATATTACAACGCCACAGGAACAAGTCAAAAGATGGCATGAATATTTTAGCGAATCTCTAAGTGCAGTCCCAACACCACCAGAAGACGCAGAAAACCTAATACCCAATATCCAACTGAGAATTAACACCAACGAACCAACAACGCAAGAAATAGAAATGGCCATAGAAAAACTGAAAGCACACAAAGCAGCCGGCCCTGACAATATTCCACCAGAGTTGTTAAAAGCTTGCCCAGGTACAGTGGCAGAGCTAATCCAACCACTCTTGAAAAGGGCTTGGAGAGAGGAAAAGTTCCCCAAAGAATGGAAAACGGGATTAATAATAAAGATACCAAAAAAGGGTGACAGAAGATATTGCGAAAACTGGAGAGGAATCACACTTCTGAATACTATAAATAAATTAACAGCAATAATTATAAACAACCGACTAACAAAGAGTGTAGAACCAATGTTGAGGAAGGAACAAGCCGGTTTCAGACCAAACAGATCATGCGTGGACCAAATTAACACACTAAGAATAATTGTAGAACAGTCACAGGAATTCAACTCTCCTCTCTTTGTGTGCTTTGTGGACTTCAAGAGAGCTTTTGACACGCTCACACACACGGCCATATGGAAAGCACTGCAGGAAATAGGAATACCAGAAAAAATAGTAAATCTCATCAAAGAACTCTACAGTGACACAGAAAGCAAAATCCTACACAACGGCATAACATCTGACCCAATAGCTATGCTAAACGGAGTAAAGCAGGGCTGTGTTTTATCCCCTATACTATTTAACATTGTACTGGACTCCGTACTAACAAAGGTAAACTCTAATAGAGGAATTTACTGGGGATTAACAAACAGACTGGAAGACCTAGATTACGCTGATGATATATGCCTCCTAGCACATACAAAACAGGACATGCAACTCCAAGTAAACAAAGTACAAGAAGAATCAAAGAAGGTTGGTCTAGAAATAAACACCAACAAAACCAAAGAAATGCGATTTGGTACCAGAAACAACCAACCTATTATTATCAACGACCAGAAAATTGAGAGAGTAGCGGAATTTGTATATCTGGGCAGCATAATTGACTGTAATGGGGGTACAGAGCGTGATGTACATGAAAGAATAAATAAGGCTCGCAACGCCTACAACATGCTTAACAACATATGGAAATCCAGGATTTACCCAACGAAAACGAAACTAAAAATCTTCAACACAAACGTAAAAGCTGTATTACTGTATGGCTGCGAAACGTGGAAGATATCAGCACCCATAGTACACCAATTACAAGTTTTCATTAATAGAGCGTTACGAAAAATCCTTCGTATATTTTGGCCTAACCGAATCTCCAATGAAAATTTATGGAACCAAAGCAACCAAGAAAATGTCATAAAGCAAATAAGGCGAAGAAAATGGAGATGGCTGGGCCACACACTCCGTAGACCGCCAAATGACATTGCCAGGACAGCACTGGATTGGAATCCCCAAGGCCGACGGAAAGTAGGCAGACCTAAGGGAACTTGGAGAAGGACAGTACTGGACGAAGGGAGAACAATGGGAAAATCCTGGCTTGAAATCAAAGCACTAGCCAGAAATAGAGTTCGCTGGAGACACTTTGTGGAAGCCCTATGTTCCTCTTAGGAATCTTGGGACTATATATATATATATATATATATATATATATATATATATATATATATATATACATTAATTTTTAAAAAACCAATTTTCAATGTTACAAATATACCTATCTGATTAATTTACAATACAGATTACAATATTGATGGTTGATACTGTTACATTATTATAATTTTAACTTTTTAATTTTAAATAAGGCTGACATCTGTCAATTTTAGACAACTACCGTAAGTTACACTGACTGCTCTGACACAACATCCGTCCTAACTTGTCAACAATGTCATTTTGATCAGTTGTTATCAACAGGTCCTCGTAGACACTTTGTCTCAGGACCATTTTACTCATGTAGAGTCATACGCCGCCATGTTACCTATCCAACGGTAACTTAACCATCACAAATTAGAAATACTAATAATGTAAAACAATTTCAAATTTATAACATTTAAAGGGTTTTTACCCATATATTTTGGTGGCTACTAGCATGTACAACCGTAAGTATTAACCACATTTTGCTCTAACCTTTGTCAACATTTTCATTTAACGTTCTTTTTAATTAAAGTGGTTATATACTTTCAGGTTTGCACTGATGATGGATTGTTTAATCCGAAAACGTTTTGCAATGTGTTTGTGATAGCCCGTTTGAGGCATTTTTATATACTTTTTATAAAGGATTTTAACAAAATTTTTTTGTGATATATGGTATACAGCCAGCTACAGGAACTTAGTTTCCTCGTGGAAGAAATACCAGTGTTCTTTCTGCTAGGTTTTTCAAATTTTCAAATTTATGAATAATCTAGTAATTTTTTAATCCTCAACTAACCCTTGTATGAAGTAAATATTTCTGCTAGGTTAAAATTTAAAGTGAAGAAAATCTTTTTTTTTTAGTTTCAATGTACTCTTTAACTTAAATACGAAATGGCTCTGGTAAGTTTTTACTAAATGTTAACCACCTTAATAATTGTTTACCCCTCAACTAACTGTTATGAGAAGCCAATAATTCTGCTAAGTTGAATTTTTAACTCACAAAACAAAATTTAAAAAGGTATTTTTGATATTGTTTCAGTACTGTACTTTTACTTCAATCGTTTACTATCTTCATGTTTTTGACTTTAACATACCGAGCGTAAAGTCCGGACTTTACGCTATAATTTTACGGTTCGTATTTGGATATTCTTAAAATATTTATATTCTAAAATGTTTTCCAAATATTCAAGTATTACAAATTATTTATGCTACAGAAATAATCGAAACACCATGATGTTTTGACTAATTAACTCTCGTCTAATTTGAATAATAATAAAATATTCATAACTGAAATATTTTCCAAATTTTCAGGTAGTAAATATAAATCTTTTAAAAATATATACTATTATTTTATTAGCTAATTAATGTAACACAGGTAATAAAAGTATAGTAATTTGAATATTTCTTACCTGGTAATTATTATTCTGTGAAATTTTATTACAATTCTATTGTATTCACTAAAACTCAACTTATTTCAGTTATTTTAGATTCATAAAAGGGACTCGAATTCGAGTCAATTTTTTAAAACAGTTAAAATTTATAAATTGTGTAATATAGCGCTTTATTTGATATTTGTAGTTGATTTATGCACCAATATATAAATAATTGGTTATATGTTTTAAGCTAGCGTAAATGTGTAGCTGATGAAATGTTTCCCATTAACTATGGCGTAGGGAGTAAAAAATTGCGAGAGTGGTTAAAATTCAGAAAACCTTGCACAGTAATTTCTGATTTCAGTTACAAATAGAATACAGTAAAATTATAAAAATAGATTTATCACCTTATATTTTAAGAATTATTGAGTTTTGATAAAAGATAGTTTAACCTTGGAAAACTATTAGGGTAGTAATAAATTAGTACAAATGTAGCATAATACTGTGGTATTTCGTAATTCCGAAAAAAAAATTTTATCTTCAGCTAACGTAAATGTGTAGCTTGTGGAATATCTTCCATTAAGTGTGGCATGAGGTGAATAATTATGAGGTTGGTATACATTTAGTAAAAACTTACCATAGCCCTTTTTTGTTTCAGTTATATATTACAACAAAAGATTTTCTTCACCTCAAATTTTAATCTAGCAGAATTACTGACGGCTCACAATGGTTAGTTGTGAGAAATTCGTAAAAACCTAGCAGAACACTGTGGTATTTCAAAAAGAAATTATTTAATTCCGCTGGTTCGAATTTTAAGCTAGCGGGAACGTTCCCAAATAAGATTGATTTCGAGGTGGAAAATTATTAGGGCGGTTAAAGTTTAGTAAAAACTTATCAGAACACTTTTTATTTTGGTTGGTAGTGTTGAGGGGAGAAAAAGTTCTAGGGTGGTAATAAATTCGTAAAAACCTAGCAGAACACTGCTCATATTTTAAATTAAAACACTGTTAATTTTTTTTTTTTTTCATAGTTCAGTCTGCGGTTATTTCCATCTTTACGTGCTCTTGGTTTATTGTCCCAATCAAAGAATTGTAAAAAACAGTTATTATAAAGTGCTTAGTTATACGTTAATATCTAGTCTAGTGTGGTGAAACATAAGTGTAAATAGAGATTTATGAAATAACGGATTTCCATCACGCAAAGGTGTCTTTAGTTCTACATTAAAAAACATACCTGTAGTAGCTATTACCAGAGCATCTGCATATCGTTTAGCTTTAAGGCAAAGTTCTACAGCAGCAACTACATTATTAAGTAGCAAAGCTTGTGTAATAAGGCCTTCGGTATCTAAAAAAATAAGAATTTAAAAATTTAAACGCCTAGTTTTTAACTGTATGTTCTTACCATCTCCAGTATTAATTTTAAATGGCTCGATTCGTTTTTTCTCCGGTGTTCCTAAGTTGTCAAACGCATTTTGTTGGTTATAATCTTCTATCTAAAAAAAGATCTTCATTCATATAAATATAATTTATAAAATAATATGATGTCTTCAGAGCAGCCAACCACAGCGAAGATTGTCACTCTATCCGGCCAATATCAAACAGTTTTATTAACTACGTTTTTATTTGCCTTCCGACGGAAGATCGCTGCGGAGATGCAATTAAGATAAAAAGGCAGCGCATCTCCCGATCGGGATCAATTCGTTCTATATCTTGATCCAAGCTAGACCTAGTTGACCGAGTAGCCTTTTTCAACTATTCTGCGTTTTTTATTATGTGAGCGAATCCCACAACCCAGATTTGACATCTGTATTATCCACATTGATACAAGCTGTGACAGCACTAACCCTAGTGCAGAGTAAGCCAATGGAAGCCCAGGACAAACCAAAGATGGAACTTCCGCAACCAAAATGGCGACGACACTGAAAATCCACAAGGCGATCAACAAGATAATAGACCACATGACCAGAGACACCAAACCTTGGATAGCCTACATCCTACATCCAGAAAAATCTTTAATAGGAGAGGCAGCTCAATGGGCACAGTGCCAATTCGCGACTGGTCTGAATTATCAAACGTCCTAGAAATATCTATGGCATCATAAACGTCTTAAGTCATAATTTTAGCTTGCAGCATTATCAGTTGTAGTATCTTATATTTGGATTACGAGAAATTTGCCCTAGAAACTCTAGCATGCTTTTCTTCACATTAAATATATTTTCTATTTCTTTCCCTATTTTCTCTAACACATCGTTTTTGTCGCCTGTTGCTTTTCAAGTGTACAGCCTCCTTCTTGGAAGTTTATAAAGTATAATGCTAATGACCTCAGTAGCAGTAAATCACCTTACTCGTTTCTTTCTCATAAGTCAAATTTGCCAATATAGTATTCATAACTTCTCTCTTCAATTTTGTCATTTAACTCGCCCATTAAAATGATCAGCTCGCGTTCCTTTCTTGATTGCAGTACATCTTGAAGTTGTTCGTGAAATTTCTCGGCCTCTTCATCGCCTTTATTGTCTGTAGGAGGTACTTATATTAACTGCATCTTGTCTATTATTGTTTGAAGCTGGATCAAATCGATCTGAGCAGGGAAAACAGTTTACAACTGATTTGTCCATGGTTTTTCTTGGCGTAATTCAGAATCCATTAATCTTTTCCAGTGTTTCTTGAGCAGTCCATATACTTCCGTTTTTATAACATACTTTCCAGACTTCAGTTAATCCCAAAATGTTCACATTTCTAAATTAATGTTACCTAATTTTCCTCCTAGGAATGAAGCTAAAACCTACAAAATAAATAACACAAGTCTAAAGAAGTTAATGGTTAAAGAAAACCAAAATGCAACAAGAACCAGCCAGAAAAGAAAACGTGAAACTTTAGAAAATATAAATCGGCATCACGAGACGACCTTTATTCGTCTAGCAACAAATATAAACTGATATAAAAGAAATAAAACATTCAGATACTTACCCTATTTGAGTTGATAAAATCTTCACTTAGTCCGTCCATATTACTTTCGTTTTGCACGCCAGCATGCACATTCAACTTATCGTTAACATCCGTAAGGTTATAACCCAACAGATTCAACAACTCCACCCGAGGAACTTCTTCAAAGTTCGCTTTCAAGAAGTGCCAGATGTATTTCTTGTGTTGGTCATTGGTTTGGTTAGATTTTTCTTTACAATAATCTAAAAAGAAAACAAAACCAGTTTATATAAAAAAAATATTTATATTTAAAATATTTTAAAGTAAAGGATCGACTTTGAAATAAGTTTTCTGAAAAGAGGGCTGCAACTAATTAGTTTCAGAACATAAAATCCACGCCATAATGGTATTTTTTATATATGAATTATTTTCAATAATTCCATTTCATTCCTTGTGTACTTTTTTTCTAATTTTCTTACCATAAAAACTGAGCTCGTCGTTATCGTTCTTTTCCATGACTTTTCCAAGAGTTTTCTCTAGGAATATTTTAAACCAAAAGGATGTAGAGCAGTTTTGCAGTAATCCTTTTGTTGTTTTAAATGGGCTGTATATTTATGGTTATCGCACAGGTATCGAGCAAAAAGACAAAAGAGGGAATCTAATCGTTATGAAAAGGAGACCAAAATTCATAAAAGTGGCCTTTAATTAAATAAGTTTTAATTCTTCTTCTTCTTCTTAAGGTGCCGTACATTTCTGCGTAGGCGTCCACCGTACATTCGTGTCAGGTGAGATTTTAAATATTCAGGATTAAATAATTTTGTTTTTAGCAGCATTGCGAAGCATTTCATAGCTGTGGATTCCTGTCCATTGTCGAATATTGCCATGACTTTTTTTACGTCCCAGAACTCTCCTACCCTCTATCTTCCCTTCGAGAATCAGTTGCTGAAAAGTGTATCTTTCTCTTCGTAATATGTGCCCCAAGTATGCAGTCTTCTTACTTTTTACATAACTAAAAAGTTTCCTATCCTGTAAGCCCGCTCTTCTGAGTACTTGCTCATTTCTGACCCTGTCCGTCCATGATATTCTAAGCATTCGACGCAGGCACCACATTTCAAACACTTCAAGTTTGTTAATGGAACTGGCCTTTAACGTCCATGCTTCCATTCAGTACAGGAGAACAGGCCACACGTAACACTTAAGCATCTTGTATCGGAGGTTGAAGTCCAATTTGCGATCAGTCAGAAACTTACGAAGCCTCAAAAAAGCATTTCTGGCTTGTTCAACTCTGCTCTTTATTTCATTCTAGGGGTCCCAACCTTCGTTCAGCAAACAACCAAGTATTTGAATTGCCTGACCTGTTCGATTTCTTTTCCAGAGACATATATCTTTGCGTTGGGGTAATCATTTCTACTTATAATCATTGTTTTTGTCTTCTTGATATTTGTTTTCAAACCCCGAGCTTCACTTGCAAGAGTTGAATCATTTAAAAGGCATTGAAGATCTTCGATGTTGTCTGCCACTATGGCTGTATCATCGGCATACCTGATGTTATTAATAAATATGCCGTTAAATTTAATATCCTTATTAGAGACTGCCACTGCTTCTATGAAGGCTTTTTCTACGTATAAATTGAATAGCATTGGAGACAGTATACAACCTTGCCTTACTCCTTTTTTAATGGAGAAATCTTCTGTTTCGTTGAAATTTTGAAGACGTACTGTTGCTGTCTGGTTCCAATACAGATTGGCGATAATTCTTATATCCTTGGCATCCAATCCCAACTCTTGTAGGTATTTTATCATCAATTCGTGTTTTACATTATCGAATGCTTACTCGTAATCGATGAAACAGACAAAAACATCCATTCTTTGATCTAAACAATTCTGTATTGTTTGCATACTAAAGATCGCTTCTCTCGTGCCAAGTCCATTTTTGAAACCAAACTGACTCCATCCACTGACCTCTTCACCTTTCTTAAACAATCTAGTGTGAAGTATTCTCAGGAAAAGTTTTAAAAAGTGACTCATTAGGCTTATTAGTCGGTGGTCCTTGCAGAAGTTCGCACGTGGTGTTTTTGGTAGGCCGATAAATGTAGATTGAAGCCAATCTTTTGGAATCTGGCCCGTATCGTAGATGTCGTTAAAGAGCTTGACAATAATGTCTAGGTTTTCTTCATTAAATAACTTGATTGTTTCTGCGTACATATCATCTGGTCCTGGGGTTTTGTTATTTTTTAATAGTTTGATAGCGTGTACAATTTCAGCTTTCAAAATACTTGGGCCATACAAATGGTCTCCCAGTTGTGGTGGTTTTTTAGTTGTGGTAGTTTTAAGTTTTAATTAAATAGGTAAATCATTAAATAAGTTTTAATTAAATATTAACGATAATTGTGACACAATTGTTAAAAAACTTTAATATAGATAAGATTTCATGTGACAGTTGGGACAAACAATAACATAACCAAACTAAATTTGATTTGTTAAACAAGGTAAGAGACTCTCGTTCCTTGTCTAATGTGGCCTCTCAAAATGGCACTTCCCGTCTAACAATATTTTTGCCCCCACTACCTTTACATTCCCTCTTCTGTCTTTTTGCTCGATGGTCATAGGTCTCCTTGAGATATAGTGTGAAGTATGTACGGACGCACATCTCCCTTGTAGGGAACAAATTATCTTACATAATTCTCTTGCTAGAAATAAGTGATTGAGTAAATTATTCATTAACCCACTTACAACCTAAATATGAAATATTATACTTGTATGTAGGCCTCCAGATCGTATGTACAAATTTTGTTATACAGAGAAACAATATATGGGAATATTTAAACAAAATCCTGGAGGCGGAAGAAAAAATCTGATTACAATAAACTTGTTGACATTTTAACAAATTTATATTATATAATTGACATATAAACAACTTTTAAGTTTTTGAGTAGTTACTCAATAAAGAATGTTTATTTATTTATATGTATAATTGTACTCACCTGTAAAATTCCCATATTCTAATGTTTTTTCCAACTCGTTTGATTTCTGTACAAAGTCAGGTTCAGTTATAACTTGACTGATCTGAACTGTTCTGTGAATTGGGGGCGGTTGTTGGCCAGGTTGCAGATTCTGTAAGACTTGTGCGATTGCTGCTTTTTCATGTTCAAATGTAATCAATTTACCTCCAAACTAAAAGGAATTATATAAATAACAGAAAAATGGAAAAAAATTTAAAAAGCTATATATATATATATATATATATATATATATATATATATATATATATATATATGATACTATTAGTCCAAGATCCCACTGCAGGAACTCTACGTTCATAACATAGTTTCAAACTCATATTTTTACATACATTTAAAAATGGGAGAATACATTGATAATACTTGCCAGCCAAAAGTGTCCGCAAATATTTTTAATTCAATTAAAAGTAATTCATTTTGAACAAAAAATTTATTTCGTTGTCTGAGAAAAATGGTGACAAATTAGGGTTGCTATGTGGTAAAAACGCGAGGTATCAAAGATAAAGTAAAAGACAACTACGGCAAGACTACTGGTTTGAAATGTCAGTTGTGTGCATTTTTAAAGCATGCGTCTATAAATATATATAATAATATAAATATATCCCTTGTCAAACCAGTGTAGTTCCGCGCTAATTTTATTATATTATTTATTTTATTATATTATATATTATTTTATATTTCTTGAATTATATTTTTAGTTTGAAAGAATTTCGTTGTTTTTGATCCAAAAAATAAACACATCAGAAAACTTATTTTAATATTCTTTTGATTAATTACTTATTGTAATATACTATAAAATAATTATCAGCTCGAAAATATGTTTTGTTTATTAATATAATATAAAGTACACATATTTTTTATAAAAAACGTTTTTTCATAATTAATTAGTTAACCTTTATAATTAAACCATTTTATTTGCGCAATTATCTGCGCTATATTAAAATGCAGTGTCATCGGCAAAACTTATACTATCTTCTCCTCAGTATTGAGATTATATAGATCGTTGATATGGATACTGAATAGTAGTGGTCCTAATACTGTACCTTGGGGCACACGTGAAGTTACTTCTAGTAGTTCTGGATGGCTTATTATATTATACAGTGCTAGTCAAAAGTCCGTTCCCCCCTCGTATCTTTTGAACGGTTGTTGTTATAATAATGAAATTTGGAGGGAGGTAATAAACAGACGTAGGCTTCTGAACTAGTCATAACAGGTGACGTAATAGTGACATATGACGTTACAGCGCCACTGTGACAGATAATTTTAAATGCGACCTTATGGCAAGTGATACTTCGTTTGAAATACCTATTCAGTCATAATAATTTTTTTTTGAGTTTAAGCTCATTTTGATGAATAAATTAAATAAATACTAAAATTGTAGCTTCTTATTTAATTGATAAATATTTAACAACCAGTTCTTATAGTAAATGTTCCAAATGTGCTCCATCTACTTCCTGACAATAACATCATACAACAGCATACTTCCTGACATGCATCCTATTTCTAAACTCTTGCCGTACTCGTTCAAATGTGTCGGGGGAAATTGCCCTACATTCTTCAACAATTCGTTGTTTCAAAATGTCAATATTGTCGGCTGCTGAAGCGTAAACTTTAGATTTCAAGTATCCCCACAGAAAAAAAATCTAATGGTGTGAGGTCCGGTGACCGAGCTAGCCATTCTATCGTACCTCATCATCCAATTCATCTACCACGATATTCTTCCTCTAGGTAACGTCTTACTGCACCATAATGGTGCAGTAAGACGTTACCTGTCTTAAGCAAGACCTGTAAGACGTCTTACTGCACCATAATGGTGTGCAGGAGCACCATCTTGTTGAAACGTTATTTCCAAGTTGCCGAATTCATCTGGATTATCCTCCAGAATTTCAAGTATTAATGGTTCTTTTATGGGCCTTTAATGGGCCTTTTGTAACATCTCCAGATACACTTCACCGGTTAAGTTAGTATTGAGAAAAACAGGCCTAACTATGTGATTTCCCAAAATACCTGCCCAAACATTTATTTTTTTTTTTGGAAATTGAGTATGTGTTTCACAAAAGACGTGAGGATTTGTGTCACTACAATACCTCACATTGTGTGTGTTAACATTTCCATTGAGAGAAAAAGTACTTTCGTCACTAAAACAAATTGTTTTTATGTAATTGAACTGTTGGTTAATTTTATTAGACATATTTTCACAGAATTCTAGTCTTTTGTCGGGGTCATCATCTGAAAGATGGTGCACAATTTTTAATTTGTATGGATGAAATTTGTTTTCATCCAACACTCGGTGTACTGTCTTTTTCACTAATTTCATAGATAGATGCAACTTGGGCTGTAGAAGATGTAGGGTTCACTACCATTTCTGATATTATGTCAATTTTTTTGTCATCACTAATTGTTGGTCGACCAGATCGTTTGACATCTTGAACACTACCTATTTGTTTAAACTTCCGAAGAAGCTTTCTCAAATAAGATCTCGATATAGGGCGATCGGGGTACCTCTCATTAAAAAGACGTTTCGCTGCATGGAAATTATTTTCACATTCACCAATTAGTAACACAGCTGCTACTTTATCAGATACAGTACGTACCATTCTGCCTTTGTAAAGAAAAATTAACTAAACTAAACTAACTAACTAACTAAACTAAATATTAACTAAGAACAACTAACTGAAAACAGCTTGACAACTTAAATTGACTAAACTAAGTAGAAACAGAAACTAAATATTGGGCTATAAACGCTTTTGCAAACTAAAAACAACTAGAGAATTGACAAACGTCAACTTTTGTTGACAAATAACCAAAGGCTGACGTTTGAATTTTTATTAATTAAATGCCAAATTAAAATTTTAGTATTTATTTAATTTATTCGTCAAAAGCATCTTAAATCCAAACAAAAGTAGTATGATTGATTAGGTATATTAAAGTAATTGTAGTTTCGCATTTAATCAATAAATATTCTAACGTTCGCCTCTGGTTAATTGTCAAAAAGATTGACGTTGACATAAAACACTTAAAGAATTGAAAAAGTCAACTTTTTGACAAGTAACCAGAGCCGGAGGTTTTAATATTTATCAATTAAATGCGAAACTACAATTTTAGTATTTATTTAATTTATTTATCAAAATGAGCTTAAACTCAAAAAAAATTATTATGACTAAATAGGTATTTTCAATACCTTTCAAACGAGGTATCACTTGCCATAAGGTCTAAAATTATCTGTAAGCTGAGAAGCCTACGTCTGTTTATTACCTCCCTCCAAATTTCACTATTATAAGTATAACCGTTCAAAAGATACGAAGGGGGGAACAGACTTTTGACAAGCACTGTATATTAATATAATATATTAAGAAATGTTGAAATAACCTTTTTCAGTCCCTCATAATAAAGATGTAGAACTATGAGATATCTCTCGGGGGAACCTGTAACCCTAGAGAGCGCGTCCTCAGGTGGCGGATAGGGGAATGCCCTCACCGGCCTGTTTGCAGCTAGGCCGGCGGGTAGGTGGGAAATAAAATACCACCCGCGGACCAACAGGTGGGGTAGATAGGACTCCTAAGCCGTAGAGAAGGCAACTTATCTAAGAGAAGAATACTCTGATTTAAAACCCTGGTCCTCCAAGTTGGGGGTTGAGGCATCGGGTTTGTCTCCTCGATACTCGGAAAAAATGATCAAAGTTAAAAATTTCAGCAAAAAGCCTTGGAATTCGGACAGATTAAACTATAAACGAAATTCGCAAAGAAAATGGATTATGAATTTGGGTGCTTAGAACATACAAAGAATAAGGACAAAACAGGAGGAGGTCTTCCGTGAACTGAGTAAAATGAAACTAGACATCTGTGTATTAACTGAAGTAAAGAAAAAAGGAAGAGGAAATGAAAAGATAAACGAATACCTGCATTTCTATAGTGGCGTAGAAAAGAGCGAACGAGCTAAAAGAGGAGTGTCTATAGCAATACATCAGAAACTAAAAAAATGTATTAAATCATGGCAAGAAATAGATGAAAGAATTATCCTCATGGAAATTAAGAAAAATGGCCATGAAATAGTGGTAATTGGAACATATGCACCGACGGATGACTCAAGGGTTGACAGCAAGGAAGAGTACTTTAACAAGTTAACAACTGTTCTAGCCACAATTAATAAGAAGAAAGAAATTTGGATCTTAGGTGATCTTAATGCAAGAACCGGAAAGAGCTCCAACAGTGAAATAATAGGAAGATATGCAGAAGACATTCTGAACGACAATGGTCAAAGATTAATAGATTTTTGCGAGGCACATTCTTTGAAAATATTAAATGGTTTCTTCCCCCATAAGAATATACATAAATTTACATGGACGCAGCCTACCAGGAATTTAAAATCAATAATTGACTATTTCATTCATCGTAAAGATTCTAAACTAAAAACGAAGGACGTGAAGGTGTTTAGAGGGCCAGAATGTGGAAGTGACCACCATATGATTATTGCAAAAGTAATGGTGACATTTAAGAGAGAACAATCAAGTCACAAAAATGATGAAGTAACAGACATAGGAACAACCATAGAAAACATAAAATATAACCTGGAAAGCTTTAAACAAGATTCGACAAAGTTCTTATATAAAATTAGAATAGCTCAGAAAATAAAAAATATAGAAACAAAGGACTTAGACCCCGAAAGTCTGTATGAGGTAATTAAAAAATATATTCATGAAGCGGCAAATGAAGCACTGGGAAAAGTTGAAAATCGGAAAAAAGGAAAATCTGAATGGTTGTCAACGGAACTAGAAGAGAAAGTTCTCAAGAAAAAACAAGCATATCACATATGGCTTCAATCCAAAGATCCTCAAGACAGAGAAATATACGCTAAATGGAATAGAGAAGTTAAAAAAGACGTGGATAAGGCGAAAAATATAAACTGGGAGGCTAAGTGTGATGAACTGGACAGATTTATGGGTGGAACAAAAGTGGCGCAAGCTTGGAAAACATTAAAACAGTTTAGGAAAAATGAGAAAAATGAAGACAACATTTCTCTCATAAAGTTAAATGAATGGGAAGAATATTATACGAAACTGCTGAAAGAGGATAGAGTAGAGTACAGATGGGAAAAGATAAGGGAATTAATAGACAACAGAGACGAAAGACAGGAAATCCCTATAATAACATTATCTGAATTGACGGAAACCTTAAAAGAGGTTAAAAACGGAAAAGCCGCAGGGCCTGGAGACATTCCCATAGAGCTGGTTAAATATGGGCCGACTGCACTTTTAGAATTAATAGTAGACCTTTTCAATAAATGTATGTGTGGAGACCAGGAAATTCCTAAAGATTGGAATAAATCTTATATAAGCTCCATATATAAGAGAGGGAATAAAAGAGACTGTTCCAATTATAGAGGTATTAGTGTGACGAGCTCTGTGGGCAGGTTGTACGGCAGAATATTAAAGAAGAGGGTTGAAAGACAGATACAAGATATTGAAGAACAAAGCGGCTTTCGTACCGGGAGATCCTGCCTTGATAATATATTTATCCTACGACAAATAATTGAAAAGCGTGTCAAAAGAAGTAGAGAGACCCATTTGGTATTTATAGACCTTGAGAAAGCATATGATAGTGTCCCGCTAAAGAAAATGTTTGAGGTCCTCAAAAGGTCCGGATTGGATTCGACGTATATCCGAGCGATATATAAATTGTACGAAAATGCAGTTAGTTGTGTAAAAATTGGAACCAGAACCTCAAATGAATTTAAATTCACTAAAGGCCTAAAGCAAAAATGCTGTTTGTCACCGACACTCTTTAAAATATACGTCCAAGAAGCATTGAGGAATTGGAGAAATAAATGTAGATTTATGGGCATCGAAGTGGGACAAGAAACTCTGTATACATTGTTGTTTGCAGATGATCAGGTGGTGATTGCAACCGATGAGGAAGATATAAATTATATGAATCGAAAATTATTTGAGGAATATGCCAAATGGGGGCTTACTGTAAACATAAGGAAAACAGAATATTTAAAAATTGGAGGAAATACCAGATCTGAGGCTTGAAAACGCAGTCATAAAAGGCTGCAACCAGTATAAATCTCTAGGAAGCATCATATCAGCAGATGGCAGAGTTAAGATAGATGTACAAAACCGAATAACCCAAGGGAAAAAATGCATCCGAATACTGAATTCATTACTGTGGTCTAATAAAATAAAGATGCATACCAAACTTCGCGTATATAGAGCAATTGTAGAACCAATTACCACATATGGTGCCGAATGTTGGACGATGACAAAGAATGAACGAGATAAAGTAGACGTTGTGGAAATGGATTATCTTAGAAGGTCATGTCGAGTATCGAGAATGGAAAGAATCAGGAATGAGGAAATACGAAACCGAACAGGAATTAGAGATACTCTTTCAGATAGAATACAAGGAAGGCAATTACAATGGTATGGTCACGTGATGAGAATGGAGGAGGAGCGGTGGCCAAAGAAAGCCTTAATGTATGTTCCGCCAGAAAGAAGGAAAAGGGGAAGACCACCAAATTCCTGGAGAAGAGAAATTACAAAAACAATGCAATCTAGAGGCTTAGAAGAGGGAGATTGGGGAGATAGGAAAAGATGGAGGCTGAAATGCGGGAAGCGGCAATCGCCGTAGGACCCCCGTTATATGATGATGAACCTATGAGATATAATATGTTGCCCATATTATATACCTATTTGGTGAATTAATCATTTGATAGCTTGATACTTTTTTGGTGAACACTCAGTGATTGAAGCAGAGCATGTGAACTAGTATGTGAAAAAATATATTCTTCTAATAATATTGCTCTAAATTTCATGTCTTTGTATTTTCTACAACAAAGCCAAAACACCTTAGTGTATACATATTTCATTTGATCTTTAGAAAAATCTTTAAAATTACTACTTAAAATCGATTATTGGTCGCTTTTTTTGGGGCTAGTTTATATGGACATCATTTGCTTTGTACGTACTCCTATATTTTTTTAGTTCAGTTAAGATGCAACCCGTAATTTGTACATTTATCTTTGCCTGCATTTTGTAAATTTTAATTCCACATAACTATTAAATTGGGAATAAATTGGGAAATATTGTTCTGTAAGAGTTATCCCACATAGAAAAAGTCTCTTGACGAAAAAGAAGAAGAAATTCGAGAACATTCAAGATGACATCGAAAATTCATGAAATTTCTAGTGAAGTTTGGAACACCAGAAGATATATATAAACAGATCTTTGTGATAGTTTAGAGTAGTAGTATTTTGAGTTTTGAAGTTTATAGTTATCATTTGTATTAAGTATTGTAAACAAGTTGGTGTTAAATAAAGTTGATTTTAAACAAGTGTAACAATATTAGAAAATACTTTTGTATTGCTTACCCCAAAACGTGCTCCGACTGGTTTTTTTAACCACTTTGGTGGTTTACTTAGATCAACACTGGCAGGAGCAAGGTCTTGTTGAGGAACTGGCGCTTCTACATAGCCATCCATACCAGGGAAGCTATCGGCTATTTTATTGGTTGTTTGAATTTGTTGAGTTTTGCCTAAAGAAAACAAAAAGTAAATTTGTTTTAAATGGAAAATATAACAAAAAAATTGAACAATTCTCTAATTCAAATTAATCAATTATTATAATATAATCAATCTCTAAAATTAATCAATGACAAAGAAACAAACTGCAAAAGAATTCAAGAAAATATTTCTTCTCATTGCGTCATCTCCATTCTAAGGTTGGCGATCCAATTGGAAATAGTTAAACGTGAAATGGTGGCTCTGAAGATTTCGGATGATATTTTGTCGAGCCATTGGCGTAGATCCTTGAGCCAAAAATTATGTCTTCTTCCGATTGACCTCTTCCCCTGAATTTTGCCTATGACGATTAACAGAAGTATTTCATATCTATCCCCTCGTATTAGGTATCCTATGTACATTAGCTTATACATCTTTCTTCTAAATTATGTTAAGAACTTCGGCATTTGTTATTATTTTAGTCCAGAAAATGAAAGCGTCGATGCGTTTCTCTTACCGGATTTAAGAATCCTAGCACTAGAATATACGCGCACACAACAATTGTCTACGATTTCCTTCCAGCCTAAGGAAGAAAAACAGTTTACAGTCCAATTCACGTGAAATTTTTTTTTTTTTTTGGAAAACCTACCACCAACCGTCGACAGCATAATGAACAGAGTGAAGGATGATAAGGACCTACCAGCTTTTTCAGAGAAACATTAGAAAGAAAATTCGAGAGGCAAAAGAGAGGTGGCTCTCCGACAGATGCAAGGAAATAGAAGATCTGGATAAAAAGTACGATAGCTGTAATTTACACAAAAAAATCAAAGAAATGACAGGTTCTAGAAAGCGTACAAAAACGATCGACAGGTTCTAGAAAGCGTACAAAAAATCCTTAAAAATGATAAAGGGGATATTATTACTGATATGAAGGAGAGATTATGTCACTGGACCAATTACATTCAACAACTATTTAATGATGAAAGAGAAAACTGTCATTAGAAATCACCGACGATACCGGACCACCAATATTAAGAGAAGAAGTCATCTATGCCATCAAAAACACAAAAGAGGGTAAAGCTCTCATCGATGAAGATGTTATTGATGTAATGGTTGAACTCTTTAATCTAATATATCAGACTGCCACAATCCCCAGACAATGGCTGCAATCAACCTTTGTAGCAATTCCCAAAAAACCAAGTTCAACAACTTGCTCAGACCACAGAACAATAGCTTTAATGAGTCACACACTTAAAACATTTTTGAAAATAATTCACAGCAGAATTGTTAAAACTCTTGAATATGAGATTAGTGACACACAATTTGGCTTTAGAAATGGTATGAGTACAAGAGATGCTTTGTTCGGCTTGAATGTGCTGACTCAGAGATGCATGGACATGAATCAGGATATGTACTTATGTTTTGTAGACTTTGAAAAGGCATTTGATACAGTTCAACATAAAAAGCTTGTAGATATATTAAAAAGCAAAAATATTGACAGTCGTGATCTGAAAATTATATCTAATTTATATTGGAATCAAACTGCCAAGGTAAGAGTTGACAGCCAGTACACCGAAAATATCAAAATACAGAGAGGAGTCCGCTAGGGTTGCGTGCTGTCCCACTACTTTTCAATGTCTACAGTGAAGCGGTATTTCAAGAAGCGCTCTCAGACTCAATAGAAGCTATATCTATCAATGGAGAAGTTTTGAATAACTTACGTTTTGCAGACGATACAGTAATAATTACGGATAACAACAATGATTTACAGAACGTAATGCAACGCCTTAATGAACGCTGTCATGAGTACGGACTGAAGATAAATTTAAAGAAAACTAAATGCATGATCATGACTAAATCTGCACATGCAAACATCCAATTGACTATTGAAGATACTGCAATTGAGAGTGTTAATAACTATAAATACTTAGGAACATGGATAATATCAGATGTAGACCAAACCAAAGAAATTAAGACACGTATTGAAATAGCACGTACATCATTTATTAAACTTAAAAAGTTTCTTTGTTGTCGGGATACAAGGTTAGAACTACGCCTGAGAATGCTTCGATGTTACATGTTCTCTACTCTTCTTTATGGTTTGGAAGCTTGGACACTAAAACAAGTTCATCTGAATAAGTTGACCGCCTTTGAATTTTGGTGTTACAGAAGAATCCTACGAATATCATGGATTCAAAGAATGTCAAACATGGAAGTAACTAGAAGGATAGGAAATGAGGCGGAAATAATATTAACTATTAAAAGACGAAAACTAGAGTACTTGGGACATGTGATGAGAGGGCAAAAATACGCATTATTACAACTTATTATGCAGGGCAAATTTCGAGGAAAGCGAAATATGGGAAGACGAAGAATATCCTGGCTTAAGAACTTAAGGGAATGGTTTGAATGCAGTAGTGCAGAACTTTTTAGAGCGGCAGTCAACAGAGTCCGCATAGCCATGATGATTTCCAACCTTCGATAGAAGATAGAACTTAAAGAAGAAGAAGCTTTTTTAAAAACCACATTTCGTAGGCTACAAAATGACATAGGTTTTGAATATGGTAAAAGAGGTCCAGATTCGATAATGATGGAAAGAAAAGATATATCCTCCAGACACAAGACCCTCTCACAAATAAAAACATTGAGGAAGAAGGATAATGTAAACCTTGTTTATACCGATGAGTCTTGGACTAACGTCGGTGCTTCAGTCAAAAAGGAACGAAGGGACACAACGATCAAGAATCCACGAGATGCCTTCATAAAAGGGTTCTCTACTGGACTGAAAGCTCCAACCCAAAGATATCCTGGGTTTGTTCTGCTTCATGTTGGAAGCGAAACTGGTTTTATGACATGGGCCGTGAATAAATAAACTGGCTTCTTCTCATTTGTAGTAGCATAAGTGATCTGATGGGAGTGTGACACGACACTCTCCCTTTTTTCTTACTTCACTGATACCCACAATATCTCAATTCACTTGTGTGAAAGAGTGAAACAAGACCGATATTCAATGGGATCATTGAAGAACATCGTTAGCGGTCGCATGACGGCCGACCATTAAGTTTTTAGCACGATAACTTCCTCTTTAACTTACGGATTTTTTGCTCTGGTTTTCTCTATATTCTTGTTGGGTAGGATGGGAAGGGAAAGAAGGTGTAGATTGGAATTTTATGGGTCGTGACTTGGTTTCCTGGGAAGAAGGTATTTAGGGGCAAAACTATGAGCTCGCAACGGCGGTTTGCTATTACTGAAATAGATCTGTTCTCTGTCGGAATCGCAAAGGAGTATCTACCCGCTACCCTACGTGGTAGTAAGAATGTCCAAATATCCACATCTCGTTCGATTCTGAGAAACGCGGCCCCGTTCATTCTGTGTGCCTTAAACACTCTTTAAATACTCTTTACTTTAAGTTCTATATCATTCCTGATTTTGTAATGTATATGTCTAATATTATATTTAATAAATGTTAACAACAAATCAAATACCTTTTATTTTCGGAAGACAGATACCCTTTAAATGCTTAGGTCTTTACGACACATATATGGGTCGAAACGCACTGTGACGAAGGTTGGATACAAGATATACATGAAGTTTATAAATATCTATGAACAGCTAAGGTGTTAACAACCAAGCGCCAAAATGGAAAATTTAGTTACATCGTTTACCAGAAAGGAACTCACAAAGACAAAGGTCAATACCATTCAATGATACAGCAGAACTAAAACGGATAAAAGTACCTTAAAAATAAATGGTTATAATCAAAAAATAATTAAAAAAGACACAGAACTTTGTGCAAATAGACTAGTAGTCAAAACTACAAAATACAAACCATAAGCAATTCTTCTTTACATCAAACGAACCAAAGACCGAATTGACGATATTTCCGCAGCATACAAGCCCCTAAAAACGATAGGATCAACCCTAAGAAATCCTAAAGGTAATAACCCTTTAGAAAATTACAGAGTCTACAGCATTCCACGCGACTAAACGAACATTGTCGAAATACAAAAAACAAGCAAACCACCTTAGCTTTGTTACAACATGAACACAATATGGGACAAAAAATCCTGTTAACAAATAACAGCCATCCATCTAAAAAAAAACTAAAAAAACAGAGGGTGTAGAAATTGAAGTCCAAGATGGATTAAAGAGAAGCAATGATACTTTAAATGTACATCTTACATGGAAAACGTTAATAATAAGAAGAGCAGTATATACTTACCACCCATAACAGAATAGACAGAAACATGTCCATCGAAGTTGGAAGAAGCAATCAAAGCGGGATTTCTAGGACACCACACAACATCGAAACTCCACTGATTCGTTTTTGCTACCTCAGCTAACACTTCTCCATTTTGGTGATTTGAATTGGGATTCCAGCATACCAATCTGTTATCTTTTCCACATGATACTAATAAATCTGGATCCTCAGAACACCAGGCAAGGGAAAGAATACCTCTTTGATGGTTTTGAAGGGTTTTTAATGGCGAAGTTGCAAACCTTAGATCCCATAGTTGTATTACTGGGGCTTGGTCTTCCTCTAAAATAAATAGAATATATATGAGAATACAGTTATTCAAATGTAATTAAAACTTCTTACCAGATGCTAGACAAAGCTGTGTGGCTACCTCTGGATGCCATGCAACAACTTTCCACCTAATTCTAGACACTGTGTCAGTTAGCTTTATGATTGGTTCATTTTTCCTTAGATCCCAGATCACACATTTTGAGGGAAAAGTTGAGGCTAGAATGTGTTGTACTTGCTTGTTCCATGCTACTGATAAAACATCTTCCAATGGTTGACTCTTGGTACCTAAAATATAGTGAAATAATTGGTTTATAATGGTTGACTCTTGGTACCTAAAATATAGTGAAATAATTGGTTTATAATTACATAGAAAAATTAAATTTTTGAGATACTTCTTAACAAATTAATTCTGAGTTTGTTAAAGTCACAAGTAAAAATTGATATGACATTAAACGTTTATAATATATCACTAATGGGTGCCAGAAAGAGATTGGTCATCAATTATAGTATGATTTCAGGGACGAAAGTCATAGATTATGGAAAGTTAGATTGTTGAGAGTAACTCAGCCTTATGTAAATCAATGTTTCATTATATTTTTGAAACTGATAAAACATTCTTCTTCTTAAAGTGCCCTCTCCTCAATGGAGGTTGGCTACTACAATTTTAAACTCTTCTCTATCTTCAGCTGTTCTTATTAGCTGTTCAAAATTTAGCCCTGTCCATTGTCGGATGTTTGTGAGCCACTATAGTCTTTTCCTTCCTAGGCCTCTCTTTCCCTCGATTTTTCCTTTCACTATAAGTTGGGCACATTGGTACTTATTATTTCTCAGTATGTGGCCTAGGTATGATGTTTTTCTAACTTTTACTGTGTTAAAAAGTTCTCTTTCCTTGCTTATTCTATGCAGTACTTCTTCGTTTGGAGGTATGCGATGTCCATGAAATTTTGAGTATTCTCCGGTAGACCCACATTTCAAAGGCCTCCAATTTATTTACAGTTGATGTTTTAAGGGTCCACATTTCAACTGCATATAGAAGAGTCGACCAGACGTAGCATTTTGATAAACGTAGTCTAATTTCGAGTTTTATTCGAGAATCACAAAGCAGTTTTTTTTATTTTTTCGAAAGATTTTCTGTCCTGTTCTATTCTCGATCTTATTTCTAGATCAGGATTTAGGCTGCTATCGATCCAACATCCCAGGTACTTAAATCTATTGACCTGTTCTAAAATGTGCCCATTTATTGCGCAAGGTTGAGGTACGTTTTGGTTTTTTCGGATTGACATCACTTTGGTTTTTTTAATGTTTATTTACATACCAAATTGCTTACAGGTCGAGTTGGTCTTGTCGATACTCGTTGTAGACCTAAATCGGGATCCGCAATTAACACTGTATCATCGGCCTATCTGATACTGTTGATATTTACGCCATTCACAAACATTAGAGAAAGTAATTAAAGAATGTTCTGTTCTGCTTACCTTTAGACACTACACTGAGCGTTCTTGGTATTACTATATATATTTGTTCATTATATTCTAAATAGTTTATTATTATAGTTTATTTTTCTTCCTTTTAGGCGTTAGTTGGGATAGTGTGTTAGATGTAACTGACTTTTGTTAAATAGATCTTTGTTTTAATTATATTTTTTATTCTCTATACCTTATCACCAATGATCTTGTAGCATGTTTTGCGTCCACTCAGTATATCATAAAAATTTCATAAGGGTTTTATTTAACCTTTAAAACTACCATTTAGATTTTCGAAAGAGAACAAACATAATCAAAGTGTTTATTTACGTTGGCAACTGTCGCTAGGCTAAATCAATCGCTTTCTCATTCTTTTCCCATAGATATCGTTACCTCTCATATAAAATTTAACATAATGTCTTAATTAAACGACCAAAATAGGTGAGAGAATAATGAAGTATTTTGCGCATCAGAGAAATGCTACGTTTTCAGGGGAAGAGAAAAGGCGAATATTAATGTCCAATAAATGTTACTTTGGCTTAATTAGGCAACTAAGATCAGATAACGTCTCAATAAAAATAAAATGTCAAATATAGAAAACAATAATAAGACCGGTACTCACATATGGTTTAGAAACCTGGACACTCTAAAGTGAGGAAAGATTATTACTTACCTTTGAAAGAAAAATCTTGCGACACATATACAAAGGCACAAAAATAGAATTCGGCGAAGAAGATATAACTTTGAACATATCGTAACATTCTTCAAAACAGGACGGCTGCGTTGGAATACACTTGTGGAAAGAATGGAAGAAGGCGAAATACCAAACAAAATAGGCAAACAAATGCCAGTAGGAAAAAAACGAGAGGAAGACAGTGGTTGAGATACATTGAACAAGTAGAAAATGATTTAACAATCTTAAAAATAAAAAATAAAAAATCACGAATCATATTAGAATGGAAAAGATTCCTGGAACAGGCCAAGACACAAAAAGAGTTGTCGAGCCAGTGATGATAATGATAAATTTATTTCCAAAGATAAAGTTGCTCTACTGCAAAATATTGTTTCCCTTCTATATAAGAGCTGTCTGTAATTTGTTATCAGGTCTAGGTTATGTGAGTTATTCAAATATAAAGGTAGTAGGCTAAAATAGGTATTTAAGTCCAGTAATAAAAAGATCTATTAAAAAGCATTCAAACCAAAATTAGTAGTGAACCATGATTTCTTGAATTGTCAAAGAATATAACATTTGTATCAACAATGAATTCAATCCTGCATACTTATTTAAATGAAAATTGGTTGAAACCATAAACTGTTCATATTGAGAAATGGAGGGTATAAAACATATTTTGCTGGCAAGATATAAAAATGTTAAGAATTTTCATAATCTACTATTACAAAAAATTTATTTCAAATCCTTTATAAAAGGTATATAATAAAATGCCCAAACGGGCTATCACAATTATATTATAAAACGTTTTCGGATTGTTAAATCCATCATCAGTGTAAACCTGAAAGTAAATAACCACTTTAATTAAAAAGAACGTTGAATTTAAAATGTTGACTAAGGTTAAAGAAAATTGTGGTTAATACTTACGAGGTATACATGCTATGAGCCACCAAAATATATGGGTCAAAACCCTTTAAATGATATAAATTTACAGTTGTTTCACATTGTAAAAACACATGTAAAACAACTGTAAATTTATATCATTTAAAGGGTTTTGACCCATATATTTTGGTGGCTCATAGCATGTATACCTCGTAAGTATTAACCACAATTTTCTTTAACCTTTTAACATTTTAAATTCAACGTTCTTTTTAATTAAAGTGGTTATTTACTTTCAGGTTTACACTGATGATGGATTTAACAATCCGAAAACGTTTTGTAATATAATGGTGATAGCCCATTTGAGCATTTTATTATATACCTTTTATAAAGGATTTAAAATAATTTTTTTGTGATATATGGTATACAGTCAGCTACAGGAACTTAGTTTCCTTGTGAAAATCTACTATTAATTTTAATAACTGAAGACTCTCTCTTTACAAGGTATTTCTTGAGCGCATCTTGGAAATAAAAGCATGTTGTAATAATTATGTATTCCTTTGTATATATCCTTATGTTTCCCAAATTTACCTATGATTAGGATTGTCTTGTCTAGATTGCTCTGAAAGACTGCTGAGTATCCCTGTGTATCAAGAAATAATTAAAACAATAATAGTATAATAATATCCTGTGACAATTTTTATCAGTTCTTCTATCAGTAGATATAAAATGAACACCTATAAAAATGCAGATTTTCTACTAAATACTAATTCTACGACTAAATTTATCTTTACGTCGCTACCTCATGATCGCCAGAGTACATTTAGAGCCGGCGCTGGACGTGACACCATGCCAGACGTCAGTGGCAGGATTTTCAAGAGAAGGGACCAATATACAATCAGCTACAAGAACAACCACAAGTGAGCCAAACAACAACAAGAGTTCCAATCACTGAAGGTGCTGCTCTGCAACAAAAGCCGGCGCTCACTCAAGCGGGACGACCGAGGCAGCACATTAAATAGAATGTGTCCATGTACGAAAATATTTTGCACATCTATTATAACGTGATAAACCTCGGTCAAGAAGAAATATAGAATATATTATATAGAATTTATATAGAATTTAATAGAATATATTATAAGAAATAATCTCAGAGATTAGAAGGGATATCATAGTCTGGGAAGCCAAATGGCATGCGCCATACATAAGTTTAATGGAACAAACCTACTTAGCAGACCACCGCTACCAAAAATTAACTCTTCTAAGAAACTAGGTGCCCTGTTACAAATTGTGAATGCTGAAGTCCTACCCAATTATTTCGTAGAAGTACATACATTGGAAAAAAAGAAATATAACCAAGATGAAGCAATGAAAGGAATAGACAACAGTCAAATTGTCAAGCATTTTATAAATCTGTGTCAAATGAAAAAGGAGACTTCAGACCTACATGCGTGTCTGTAATCAGGAAAAATAATGATGAACTAACAATCAATGCCAAACAACACTAAACAACCCCTATGGCCCAGAAATAACAAACGAAGAAGTAACTATAACCATTAAGTGGATTAAAGATGGGAAATCACCAGGATCTGATGAGGTGCATGGTGAAATTTTAAAGCTATAAGAGTCACACCAAATCACAGCTCTTACGAAGCTATTCAACAACATTTACGAGACTGGTTACTTACCAAAAGAACATAGATTAATTAGTTTGAGGAACCATGGTCAACTGCGATGTGTTTCATTGATTTCGAGAAGGCATTTGATAAAGTCCCACATAGGAAACTAATCAATGTCCTAAAAACATCAGTACTCGATGGTAAGGATATAAGACTAATCTCAAACTTATATCTCCAACAAAAAGCAACAGTACGATTATAAAATGAACTGTCCAAGATCTTCATAGTCGAAAAATTCGTTAGACAGGGTTGCATATTGTCAGCAGCATTATTTAACATATACTGTGAAAACATCCGCATCATAATACCGCATGACTGGCTAACATCCACATATGTAGCTCTTCCTAAAAAACAAAAAGCAAGGAAATGTGAAGACCATCGAACTGTATCCCTAATGAGTCATGCTACTAAGATTTTTATGCGAGTAATTTATAACCGCATTCACAATAAGTGTGAAGAATACCTGAGTCGTTCTCAATATGGTTTTAGGAAAGATACAGGCACCAGAGAAGCAATAATGGGATTGACACTAATGGCAGAAAGGTATCTCGAGGTTCAAACACAGCTGTATGTGTGCTTTGTCGATTATAGAAAGGCCTTCGACCGCATTAGACACGAAAAATTGATTGAGGTGCTAAAAGAAGTAGGGCTGGACGGACACGACATAGCTATAATAAGCAATACATACTGGAACCACACAAGATGTGTTCGAACAGACAATGGAAATATCAATTATGTAAACATAGAACGAGGAGTGCGTCAAGGGTGCATTCTGTCCCCTCTTCTATTTAATGTCTATGCCGAAAATATCATCAGAGCTTCTCTTGAAGATCGCCCTGAAGGTGCCAGAGTCAATGGAATCATCATTAACAATGTAAGATATGCCGATGACACCGTAGTATTAGCAGAAACAGAAGACCAACTAAAAATATTGATGAACATACTATCAGAAGAAAGTCACAGACTAGGTTTGGATATTAATCTTTCCAAAACCAAAATCATGGTATTCCACAAGAAACCCCATGAACAAATTACACCCAACATACAAATCAATGGTATCACCCTTCAGAGCTCCCAAAGCTTCATATACCTGGGCAGAGAGCTAAACAGTCAGCTAGACCACTCAAAAGAAATTAGAAGACATATTGAAATAGCAAGATCTGGCTTCATGAACATGCGTAAAATGCTCTGTAACCCCAAGCTATCAATCACAATAAGGTTAAGAACACTAAAGTGTTATGTGTGGTCTCTACTACTATATGGCTGTGAGACCTGGACATTAAAACAGTATGACATCAACAAACTGAATTCATTCGAAATGTGGATGTACCGCCGAATGCTAAGAATAAGCTGGACCAGCAAAACTACAAATGAAGAGGTACTGGAAATAATGAACACACGACCTCATCTGGTTAATACAACTAAAATTAGAAAGATGTCATATCTAGGACACATAATGCGCCATAAGGAATTTGAGCAGCTCCAGGTAATATTAGAAGGCAAAATCGAGGGTAAAAGGGGTATAGGAAGAAAGAAGAAATCCTGGCTCCGAAACATCAGAGATTTGACTCACACGACAGGAAATGACTTAATTCATCAAGCCCAGAACAGAGAGAAATTTGCCATATTGATCGCCAACCTCAATAGAGAAGGCACTTAGGAGGAGGAGGTGAAAACGTCTTTAGAGAGGCCTTGAACGAATCAGAAGATGGGATTGCTGTAAATGGTCAACTTATATTAAAGATACTTGGGATCACAGCTACAAAATAAAAACTCGCATTGAAAAAGTCAGAAGCTCTTTCAACAGCCTTAAGAAGATTCTCTGCATATATTATTCTCTGAATACATGCATAATAATTCTTAGATGTTACATTTTTAGTGTCCTCCTATATGGAGTAGAAAGCTGGAGCCTTACAGAAGGCAGAGAAAATATCAACGAAATAGCACTACAGTATAATAATTACAATATATACATAAAAAGGGAGAGAAAACAAGTGCTCTAATTATAGACGCATCTCCCTACTTAATACAAAATATTCTCGAAAATCTTATTAAGTATGCTAACACCTTCTGTAGAAAATTTCATAGGGAATACCAAGCCAGATTCAGAAAAAATTGATCGACCATAGTTAAGATTTTTACTCTAAGACAGCTGCACTGAAAAGGATAAAAGTCCCTAGAACTATTGATAATCTCGTTATAGATTTATGACAAGAAAGCACGTGGTGTTCGTGTGTATTAAGGTATAAAAACGCTTATTAAAAGCTTAAAATTTTTTATTATAAAGAAGATCTTTTCGGAATTGTATCATTCCATCATCAGTTTAATAAAAAAGGTTGTTAAAAAAACATTGTGTGGCCACATAATGTAATGTGGCCACTGTAGCCAGTTAGCCCTAGACTCCAACACAGATCAGAGGTAATGTAAGTCAATAAAACTTCACCAACTACAGGGGGTCATATAAGATGCCCCCAGTTTCATTTTTTATATTACACAAGTCAAGAGTCTATTGCATTTACCTGAATAAATAACACGAAGAATATTATTTTTTAAATCCAGATGTCAACCGAATGTTTTTTATGTGGCCACACAATGTTTTTTAACAACCTTTTTTATTAAACTGATGATGGAATGATACAATTCCGAAAAGATCTTCTTTATAATAAAAAATTTTAAGCTTTTAATAAGCGTTTTTATACCTTAATACACACGAACACCATGTGCTTTGTATTCAACAGGTATACTAGCCACTCCTGGATATCTCCACTTCATGGTTTGTTCCAGTTTCACTTTTAAAAATTTATGACAAGCATAAGACAGCATTAAAAGAAATCAGAGCTGAAATGAAACAGCAAATCAGTTTCAAAAAAATTTATCCAGCTCATTAAAATATGTTTATATGGCTGTATATCCAGACTATGGATATGTAACAAACTCTTAGAATCATTTTAAATAAATATTGGCCTGAAACAAGGAGACACACTGTCACTTCTCCTCTTTAATATAATCCTGGAGAAAATAGTAAGAACAGCATAAATTAGAACAGAACTGCTGACAGTCATCATCATCATCATCATCATCATCACTGCCTCGACAACCCTTTTTGGGTCTTGGCCTGTTCCAGGATTCTTCTCCATTCTGATCTGTTTCATGCTGTTTTTCACCAGTTTTTTTTATTTTTAAGCTTATTATATCATTTTCTATTTATTCTAAGTATCTCAGCTTCAGTCTTCCTCTTGTTCTTTTTCCTACTGGCATCTGTTTGAATATTTTGTTTGGTATTTCACCTTCTTCCATTTTTTTTACATGTCCTATCCAATGCAGCTGTCCTATTTTAATGAATGTTATAATATCCGGATCCTGGTATATTTTGTATAGTTCAAAGTTGTATCTTCTTCGCCATATTCTGTTTTCTTTTGTGCCGTTATATATGTGTCACAAGATTTTTCTTTCGAAGGTGGCTAACAACATTTCCTCACTTTTAGTGAGTGTCCAGGTTTCTGAGCCGTATGTGAGTCTTATTAAGATTTTATATATTTGACATTTTGTTTTTCTTGCGTTATCTGATCTTAGTTGCCTAATTAAGCCATGGTAACACTTATTGGCAAATAAATATTTACCTCTTCACTTCCTCCGCAACATTATTATCAGACATGACTAGGGATCTCAAGTATATAAAGTTTTTTACCCCCTCAATTCTGAAATTAAGAGAAACCATGGAAAGACAACATAGAGGAATGCACTGACAATGTTAGATACAAACATGCAGATAAAATCCTCGTCTGGTGCGTAATTTCTAACAGCGGCATATTCCAACCTTTTCTGGGAAGAGTGAGAGGTGAAGCTTTTAATAGTTAGTTATATTGATAACTGCCTTTCCAAACTATGCTAATGACAATCTATTGTTTTGGGCGCACCTAAAATCATGATATTACTTTAGAATACCCAAAACTGGCTTCTACAACACCACATAACTTTTGTTCCCAAAAATGATAATCCTCCAAACTAGCTGCAGGCTTGCCCAATACAGGATTATTGGATTTACTGTATAGGAAGGTTTATCATGGAGGCTGAGAAGCCCGTGATAAAGAATTAAGACAGAGAATTTACAAAAAACTCAGAAATTGATCTGAGTTCTATCCAGGACGTCATGATAGACATTTGAAGAAATTTGCATCTGGTAGAGCAGAATGGACCACATAACTTGACAGGATAGTTTAGTTAAGAATTGAGTTGTAATTTATAACTAGTTAGGGTTTTAATGAATTTTTTCATAAAAAAAAAATCGATAAATATTTTGTGCCAAAACTTTTAGGTTTTAGGATATACATTATAAGACTAGTCATGTCATCCAAGTTCTCATATTCATTTTCTGCATATGATCTCAATTTTTTTTCTCAAACCTTGTTCATTTACAATTTCGATACCTTTATGTATTTTATTTAATCTAACTTTGCTGTCTTTTATCTTTCCAATAAAATGGAAGGAAATCTATATAATAGATTTATAAATCTATATAATATATAATTCATGTGTTACAGTGTTAGTCACACACTTCTCCAAAACAGTTGGACTGAATTTTATGATATAAATGTATTATGTAGGTCTGAGAATAGGTTGTATTCTATTTTTCACACCCCTAAGTGATAAGGGTGGTTCACTCAAAACATTTATTTTTTATTTTTTGGACAAACTTTCTTCATTTTAATTTTTTTATGAATTTTTTTTTAAATCCATAAAACCTTAATTTTCACCCTTTTATCACCCTATTTTTTAATAGCCATATTAGTGTCAGAGTTCATTGCCATTACTCCTCCAAAACAGCTTAACTCATTTATATGAAATTTTACATGTATACTCAATAGGTATGAGAATAAGTTGTAATATATTTTTCATGGCCTAAGCAATAAGGGTGGTCCACCCCAAATATTTTCTTTCATTTTTTGGACAATTTTTTTTTATTACTTATGGTGCATTAAAACATATACAACCCTTAATGTTCACCCTTCTACAACCAACCCCTATTTTTTAATAGCCATATTAGAGTCACAGAGTTAGTTGCCATACTCTGAACTGATATAGATCTGTTTTTCTTCAGTATATATAAATTTAAAGCTATTATATGTATTTTTAGTTTACAAAAATACATATAATAGTTTAGTTTTAGTTTTACAAAGTTTAAAAAATTGCTTGTTTTAGAGAATTTTGAGAATAACTTATATAATAGTTTTACAATTTATTTCATAACTTACCAGGTGACATTGGAGAACTAGTGTTGTTTAAATCCCATATAAAGATTTCCGACTCTCCTGCACCACTAGCAAACAAATTCTGTTGGAAATTGTTAAAATCCAAAGCATGTACAGGTCCTGTATGCTTCTCTTGCTTACCAATGATGGCATCTTCTCCTTTGAGTAACTTTGAGGCATTATATATTTGGATTAATCCTCCATCACAACCACCTATAAATTAACATATATTTTAGTATTTTAAAGTTTGAAATTTACAAAAAAAATTACAGTTTTACCCAAATAATAGTCCCATACAGTAATACATACAATTTAAAGAAGTTTTGTATAAGCAAATATGTATATTTCAAAAAGTATAATCACCTATGATAGTACTATTTACAGGATTGCTTCCATAGCTCCCCCAAATGATCTTATGGAAGCGGTGGTCAGTTTGAACAGAAGAAACCAGCTGTGTATCAGGTCCAGGATCTGTCAGATTTAAGGAATAAATTTCTAAAGCTGCACTGGTATTAAAGGAAGCATCTAGTTGTTGGGCAGCTGTACCGGCTGCTAAATATATTGGATATTGGTTTTTGGGAGACCAAGCTACATTGGCGGTACGTTCTATATCTTTTACCTTCATCTTTAGGAGTATAACTGAAAAATTAATTGGAAACGTATGATCATTACAAAAAGCAACGTTAAATAGTTTGTAAATATTTTACCTTATTGTACGTTAAATTAAAATCCATAAAAAATTTAAACAGACTGAAAATAATGAAGAATTGTACTTCCAACGTGGCTCAAATTAATTTTGACAGCTAGAATACAGATGATATCAAACACGTCGACTTCTGCAATGACATAGATTAAAAATTATAAGTCTCATCAAAATACCCCGCTTGATTACTTTACAAAGTGTAATGTTAAAATTAACTACCTAATTAATCACAAATTTAAAATTAAAATTATAAATCCAACAAAAACAACTCACATTGACAATCTACAATCTGACATCACTGACATTAGTGACATTTGATTGATTTGATAATCTAAACATGTCTCGTCATGAATGTCATGTGGATATTTCTTATTCTTTTTCAGAGATATGTAAGAGAGTTCTTTTTACATAATTTTATCACAAGTTAATTTTGAACCTAATTTTTTTAGCTTAAAATCGAATTAAATATGTTTAGTTTTCGTACTATTTTCTATCCAGTATTCAAGGGTAGATATGTTTTTATTTTTATTATATATGGCATTTTCTGATTGAAAAAGTTTTACTTGAACAAATGTAAATAATATAAAACAATATTTGAGCTTTATTTTTAACACTGAGTTTAATATTTTATTATTTTCAATGCAACGCACATTTTGGGTATTAGAATTTTTAAAAAATTTAATTTTAGGTACCTGTACAATCAGACAATTACAAAAAAATGTACAGACTGTGATTACAAATGGATTACAATCGTTTAACTTTTGGTGTCTGTGGTACATTTTGTAATATCCATGTCGTTGGAAAGAGATAGAGAATACGTTACGCAGTAATCGCAAAAGAGACATATATACTACAGGTTGGTACTCTGAACTTCCTCCAGAATATTCCAGATGGAGATAGTGCAATCGGATTTCTTATTTTAGTTTGACATTCGCACGTCGTATAGTTTTTTTTAGAGAAATAGAAGCGCTGTTCTTGCAATTTTTAGAAATTTATTAAGTATTATTGTTGCTGTTTAAAGAAATAACGGGACAATTCTGTAAATAGTTCGTATTAAAGAAATGTCCATTTTTGGACCTTTGATGGGAGATATGGAAGACGATCCTTTCTTTGGGTAAGTACATCGATTTTTGTGAAAGTTTCAATCACAATGAGACCAAAATAGACGGCCATACTGATTTCTATAAAGGACAAGGACCCATCATTTTCCTATTGTAGATACTTTCTATAATTTGTACCATCCTTCTATCATTAGTAAAGATTTAAGATGATAACAATACCATACATATTAGAATTTAGAAAAATTTATTTGTTTTTTTTTCATCTGATTTTACTAAAATATCCCTGTTTTCTTAGATTAAATATCATTAAAATTACAGTTACCTTTTTAGAATAGTTATAAAATATTACAATAAATTATTTTTTCCATTTAGGTGTCATATGCGACACATGCGTCAAATGAGCAACATGATGAATTCATTATTTTCTGATCCCTTCTCTATGTTGAGACCACCAATGTTGGGATATGATGATTTTGAAAACCGGGCTCTGACTAGTCGCCACAACATGCACAATTCACTTATGTCCCCATTTTCCATGCCAATTATGCCAAATTTTAACAGACTGCTCAGTGGATCCTTAGGTAAGTTATTTTGTGTTTAAATAATACTCGATAATGTTGAATAAATTTATTGTGGAAATTTCGTAATTATTTATATTAGGTACATGGGTCATTATTCTAAAAAATATTTTTTTACAATAAAGTATAGCCTTATGAGCAATAAAATAACAGATTTTAAAACGAGATATCTGCAGGTAAACAGTAAAGGTGCAATTCTGACAACGACTGCAGACAGCAGTTGCAGTTGCTGTCATATTGATTCCGAAGTCAGCAGTAGCTATTTCACTTACATGCATAACAGTTATGCATAAAACAGTTGAGGTTAGGTATTACATAAAAAAATGTATTGCATAATGCTTTATATCCAACAGAGAATTCAAATTAACAACCATACCTTTGAGTAAGTCATAAGAATTTACATATCTTGGATCGCTAGTAAACGCAATAAACATGACATGCAAAGAAATAAAAAGACGCATAGCAATAGCAAACAGAACTGTTTGGTCTCCACAGTCTCCAGAAACATTTAAAAAATAAAAGTTGCAATAAAGCTTAATATAAACAAGACCTTAATAGGACTTGTTTTGATATATGGGGCTGAAACGGGTACATTATTTCAAAATGATGAAAGACTTCTTGGTACTTTGAGAGAAAAATTCTTAGAAAGGTTTTGGGGCCATAAATGAAAATAGACTGTGACTCCGGACGCCAATCCGGATATTGTGAAATTCATTAAAGTGCAGAGACTTAGATGGGCTGGACATATTGCTTTAATGTCAGATCAAGAATACACGAAGAGATGAGGGCACAAGAATCAGAGGAAGACCACAAATGAGATGGATTGATGATGTTGAAGAAGACCTACAAATTCTAAGGGTTAGAAGATGGAGAGAAGTTGCCAGGAATCGACAGAAGTGGCGACTTCTTTGTGAGCAGGCCAAGATTCAAAACGGATTGTTGAACCACTTATGATGATGATCATATTAAGTTTTACTGCAAGAAGAAGAAGATGATGATTTGTTATTGTATTATTGCTTTAGGAAATCCTACAAAACCATTGTACTTAACTACACTGGAAGAAGGCTCCTATGAAATATTAATCAAAATCTTTTATTCACATTTTGGGCGATCTCCTTTCAAACATATTCTTTGAGTAGTGAATTTTTTTAATCCACATTTTTGCAGTCAAATAAACAAGATACTTTTTAATATCCTTTTAACCTTACACCATTGTATGGTAGAAATTTTTTTGGTTATAACAGGGATCAATATAATAATCACTTTCTTTATTTCCTACTTCCTTCTTATCCAACTTCACGACAGCATTAACAACAGTACTGTGTTTGTTCAAGTGTGTTGACTTCTGTCGGGTGGCACAGCAACAACAGTTCTGCCAGACAGTAGTTGCAGTCAGATGTTAGAATCACACCCATCCAAATTAATACTGCAAAGTAATGCCATCTGCTGCAGCTGTATCTACAGTTGCTGTATGCAATCATTGTTAGAATCATACCTTTAGTCAATAAATGGTGATACAATTGTTTTCTTTTAGACTCTATGGCCAATACTGGAAACTACCACAGCTCCAGTACAGTGATCAGCATGACATCTGGACCTGATGGTCGTCAACAACTTTACAAAGCAACTTCTAGTACAAGAGTAGCACCTGGAGGTGTCAAAGAAACCCAGAAGACAGTTACAGACTCAATGACAGGCACTAAGAAAATGTCCATAGGCCACCATATTGGTGAAAGAGCTCATATTATAGAAAAGGAACAGAATATGCATACAGGTTTGTATAGAATTTTGTACAATTCTTGATGTTTAATTAATATGGCATGTGAAGTGAAGCAAGTTTCTAATTATCCTGATTATTCTCACTCTGTGACTTTGCCAATGAAGGGAATAATTTCTGGGACATGCTGTTAGTACCTGTAGTGCACATGGTATTGAAAAAAATTGCACAATGTGTTGACAATTTATTGTGCCAAATAATAAATACTTCATTTGTGTAGGCAATGTTATGCAATATTAGTTTAATTCTTTTTTGACAGTTGTACAATAAACACCCAAATATGGACAAAAGTAGAAAGAAAATTGGCATTGCAGAATTTTTAAACAGAATTATCCACATTAACTATAAAACTGAATAACCCATTAACACCCAAATTATTTTTTTTTGTCAAATCTCAATTGTTCTAAATATTAAAATATTCATGAAATTGTTTTATTCTTTGCATTTTTTAATTTTGACCTGTTTTATAAATAAATTACAAGGTGTTGGTGTTATCATAATTGCAAGTATGTATGAATGAGTTAAACAGTTATGGGAATTAACATTTTTATAAGCATCTAATAAAATTAAAAATAGGTTTATGTTTTATGATATCATATAAAACAATTTTTACCAAATGATACAGTACATTTCCCACAATGCATTAGTGGTTTGGATTTACAATTTTCTGCTGGACATTGTCTTTGCGCTTTGAAGTGTTCTTTCCCATCGAATTTTATGTCTATGAATACTTTTTGATATTCTCGATTTTCCTACTATACTTCTTGTACTAAGAGTCAATTTTAGGTAGGGAACTGTTAGAGATAGATGATTGGACTTATTGACTTGTTTTAGCCTTAAATTTACTAATTTCATTAGCTCTGATTTTAGTGGCACATTTCCAACAAAAACCAGTAGTGTTGATCCATGCCTCCCATGAATGTATTATATACATACTTGTGGTTTAAAAATAAAAGTTTTTCTTTGAGCTGGTGATTTCATCTAGTAGCAGGTGTTAGTGGTTTTATATTTTGGACACTTTGCTAATCTATTTTCCTGTAAGTTTACTCTTGGTTAGTATTTATATTGTTGTAAATGAAATAATATCTGCTGGTAAATAAATTATTAAAAAATACCAAGTGGCTTGCAGGTTCAGAAATGCAATCTAACATATCAAGTACTACTTGTGATCCTATGATCAAATATTCACAATCATTTTTAGCTGTTGTCTTGTCGTATATAATATTATAAGAGAGAAAATTTTGCCCATAATATTTTTGACTGGTTTGTGTAAAAGTTTGTTGCCTGACAATTTTCGCTAATTAAATTTTGACAGTTAAATCACAAGACATCAGTTGAGTGATTTTATCAAAACTCCATAAGCGAAAATTGTCAAAAGGCAACAAACTTAAATAAACCCAGAAGAAAATTTTGTCAGTAAATAATTTTCTCTCAAATGATATTTGACAAGACTATTTCACTAGGCAATTAATGCACCATATCAACAAAACATCTTTATTTATTTATTAACAATATTTAATGTATAATTATTACAAGCTATAGGCTATAGTAGTTTGACTATTCATTTCTACCAAAGCATGATTTTGTGTATTATTGACCTGTATCATTTGAAATCTCGAAGGTCCAGCTTCATTTGTTGTTCTGAGATTTTCTATCAACTTATGGGGGTGACTCGAATCCAGCTGCAGATATGGTTTCAGAGAGCTTGCATTTGAGTGACCCGTTAATTTAATTAACTCCTGTTCAGAAACACCTTGCTTGAATAAGGTTGTCACAGCTGAAGATCGATGAGAATGGTTTATTATTTTATGCTTTTGTGTCTATTCCAATTTTTTCAGCTGACATTTTTGTCCACTTAAATACGGTGTTGATTTCAAGTGGACAGTTTTTTAAACAAGATCCATCCTTCCAAATGGACGATAGAATGGACTGGATAGGATGAACTGGACAAATAGTCTAACTGGACATACATTTTCGTTTAATGAATTTTTTAGCAGTCATTTGCTGATTGCCAAACTTTTTGTTAGAAAAAATGCTGTTGTATCCAATCTGGCCCGTAAATTCTTCCATAACATCAAATTCCTTCTGGAAAAAGTGAATCATTATGAAGTTATTTGTAGATCAGTAAAATAAAACTTATAATGACCATTTAACAATTTATATTTCTGAGATTTATTTATGAATATAGTTTATAATAAACAATACTCAACAGGAATAATTCAATAAACACTAAAAAATGGCCAATATGAAACTTTTATTACATGTGTAAATCTTAATGAACTCAGCATATTTGTTCAATGTTTATAATATTTTTTTTAAATGGATAATCTAATGAACAATCTAATTATATTTTCTTTCTGTTGTTCTTTTTATAATCCCAAATAAAAATTAAGATTAAAATTTCAGGATGACCTAATATCTGCTGTGTCTTTTAAATTCTTAGTAATTGCTTCTTTACTAGATATAGGGTTTGTAAATTATTGTTGTAAACTATTCAATCTCTTCATATTATAATACAATAAATTGTATCCACTCTTTTTGTTCAGTTAAATTTATTGCAATGTTGCTTTTTGTTGTTACCAACTTTTTCATTATTTTTTTCCATATAGAAGATAAAGGCTAAGTTTTGTTCCTAGCATTCCATTACTTTACAAAATAATGTGGAAAGCAAGAAAAGAAGAATGTATTCGCTATATTTGGCACTATTTATACTACTTGTTGAGGATATACATGTACAAGTTAAGTTCCCTTTTAGTGTTTTTGTATTATATGTTAATGAAAGATGCTTAACAGGTTTTGTCATTAATAGACTTAATTACAAATTAAATTTTTTTTTTTGGCTAGGCATATTTATTGGAAACATTGTCTCATGGTTTAATCTAATTTCTAAATGGGGAAATATCTTGCCTAACTGTGTAATATAATTTTGTTAGTTCACCTGAAATTACAACTAACCTATGAAAAAAATATGCAATGAGTATATACCTGTGGATCAGGGATATAACAGATATGCTTTATAGTTGGTGACCTGTCAATGTAGCATCCACAAATCATCCATCCCAGAAAATAGCTGCCACCAAAAAAATTGAACCACAATGTAACGATACTATACAACTTAAAAATAAGTCAACTGATCCAACTGAATTCTGTATTCACTATGTGCAAGTTCGGAAGAGCAACATTTAGTGTCATAGATCAGCAAAATTATTTGCGTTTTAATGTATTGCTTATATCTAAACTGCAAATAAAATGACCTAAACTTGTTTATTTAATACAATTTTATTGTAATTTAAATCAATATTATCTTTGAAAAATTTTTACTGGATTTTTAATTGTAAAAATGGGGAATATATTTTTTGAGTTTAGATTTCATCAGTTGAATAAAAAAAATAGGGGTTATTAAAAGGTAAACATTTCGGAAGAGCTACACCTAGTGTCATAGATCAGCGCACTTCTTAGTAAACTGCAAATAAAATTACTTAAACTTGTATATTTAATATAATAATTATTTTACTTAAATTATATCAATATTTGACTTCGAAAAAATTTTAATGGAATTTTAATTGTAAAAATGGTGATAGTTTCATAGATCAGGGAAGTTTTTAGTAAACTGCAAATAAAATGACAAACTTATTTAAAATCCACTTTTTGGAAACTCTAATTGAGTCTTGCCCACATTTAATATTTTCCTCTGCTCTTGCCAGTCTTGTGCAGCAATCTCCGATTGTTGTACCCCACCTTAGGTAGATCATGCGTTTCTACATCTTTCTTAGGCGACCAACTTACCTTCTGCCATCAGGCCTCTCCCAGAAAGTTGTATTTAGTAGTCTTCTATCATTCGATCCCAGTACATGTTCTGCCCATCTTATCCGATTTGCCTTAATGTATCATACTATGGTTTCTTCTCCATAGAGTGCTTGGAGTTCCTTGCTATGTCTTTGTCTCCACTCTCCTGTTCTCTCATATCTACAAAATCCAAAGTTCATCTTTTGTAAGACTAAATAATTATGTTGTTTCACGCTGGTTCAGTGTCCAGTGTCCATGTCTCACTTCCATATGCTACTATGATGCAAATTACAGTTTTATATACCCTTGTTTTAGCTGTCTGAGTGCAATTTTGATTTAAGTAGCGTTGCTAGGGAATAATATGCTCTATTTCCTGCCATAATTTTAGCTGCTATATCTTTTTCGTAAGTACTTTTCATTGTTATCACTGCTCTCAAGTATTCTTTGACAACTTTAAAATTGTATTCAGTTATCAAAATTTTTTGTCCAATTCTTAGTCTTGGATTTTTGGTAACTACCTTGTACAGTTGCGGTCACGGAATAGTTTACACCTTACTTTTTATATTGTAATACTGTAAAATTGCAGTGTGGTACGGATTTGATAAATGTCAAAGTCAAAAAATTTCAAAACGTCAATGCTTTCGCGAGTGTTCAACAATAAAATAAAAGTATATTAAACTCTTCCAAAATGGTTAGAATACATTTGAATTATGCGCAAAAAGCAAGAGCAATTGCCAAACTCGAAGAAGGTTGGTCACTAAGGCAAGTTGCTGCTGATTTGAACGTGAGTCATATGTGCATATGGAAGATTAAACAACGATGGGATAATTTTCACTCTATAGCACGGTTGGGCGGTTTAGGAGGGCAGAAGATTTCCACAGATCAACAGGATGAGATGTTAGTAGATTATTTGAGAGAATCTCCTTTTGCCACAGCTCAAAAGGTAAGAGAAGAGGCAGCGTTTCCAGGCAGTATTCGCACTGCACGTCGAAGAATTAAAGCAAGTGGACTGCTAAATTGTGTAGCTGCACGGAAACCTTTTTTGACTGAGGATCACAAGAGGAGACGAGTTGAATTTTGTAATGAATTTATAAACCGCGATGAGAATTTTTGGTCTAGGGTTGTATTTTCCGATGAAAAAGTATTTCAGTCGTATAATAATGGTCGAATAAGAGTTTATAGGCCGAGAAATCATAGGTATGATGAACAGTATACGCATCATTTAAGAAATAGTGGAGGATTCTCTGTCAACGTATGGGGATGGATAAGTGCCGAAGGCCCGGGCGTTTGTTATCATGTAGAGGAGAAGTTAACAGGATTATATTACAAACATATTATTGAGCACACAATGTTGCCATCGGTGATCCAGAGATTCCCCAACAACGACTTTATCTTCCAACATGACAATTGCCCGGTGCATACGAGTAGAATTGTTCGAGAATGGCTAGAAGAAACTGATGTTAATGTTCTTCCGTGGCCTTCCCGTAGTGCAGACTTTAACCCCGTCGAAAATGTGTGGGCAGAGTTAACAAAGAAACTAAATGAATGAAACCTTAGACCACGGAATAGAATTGAATTATGGGAAGCAATTGAGCAGGCATGGGAAGAGCTTGTTAACTATAACATGAGGGGATTGGTGCTATCTATGAACAGAAGACTGCAAAATTGTATTGACAAGAATGGGGCTTCCACCAAATATTAATTATTATTTATCATTGTTTATCGTTATTTAATATAAAATAGATTTAAAATAAAATGCATATTAAAAAAAAGACTTCTTTATTTTCGTTATTAAGATCATAATCCATTTTATTCAAAAAACTGTTTTCTATATTTTTCATTTTGTAAAATATATTGATATTTTAATTTTAATCTACCTATTCTAGCTAGTACACCACTGGCAACGTCACTTTGACGTAAAAGGTGCGTTTAAACGAAGTAAAAATTTAAAAAATGGGCTCCTAGATACGTGAACCTGTAAACTATTCCGTGACCGCAACTGTACATCTTCTGCTTTGCTTTCAAATAATTGTAAAACTTTGTTTTGAATCTCTGGTGGATTGTGCAATTGTTTCTATTTTCTAGTATAGTGTTATTTTTAAATAATTTAATATCTTTGACATGTAGCCATAAAATATACAGTGTGATCACTATTTTCAAATACAAAATTTTCTCATTTTTTTACAGAACACTCTGTATATTAGTATTGTATTTTGTACTAAATATTACATCCTTGCTTTTGATATAAGGTTTATAGAGTTTGCGTTTTTACAGATTTTTTATTAATAAATTTATATTTTTATATACAAACCAATGTACCAACTAATATAAACAAAACTTATAACCTAATTTTATAAATCTATCCTAACATAAATTAAAATATCAAAGAAGTGTTTTTAAAAAATCAAAAGAAACAGGGTTTTCTAATAACAGAGAATATTATATTGTATGTAACAAGAATTATCCTAACAAGGAACAATATTAGAAAATCTTACTAGCATGGAACCCAGGAAATTCTGGTATCAATAGAAACTATACAGCTGATCAACTTGCTAATCAAACCAGCTAAATCAAACTGCAATTTTAAAATTTTATGCCCTATTTCAAAATATTTTATAATTAATTCAATTGTTCGACTGGACTCCCTGGATTGGATTCAATATTTTTCTACTGCTGCGCACGTTACCAAACGCAAACGATCATGGTTATGGTTAGAAACAGAAACACTACTTTAATTTCAGCTTATGGCGTTATAATGACAAGCAAAGGTATTTGATTTGCTTGGCTAATGATGTTCCTTGGGACTGTTGCCAAATTGGTAAATACCTTCGGCAAAAATCTGTAGATTTCAATATATCATATACATCCTTTTAAATTTTAAATCATCCACAATATTTGGAATAATAAATGTATTAAAGTATACATTAACCAATATACAACAACCAACACAAACAAAATTGTTGTTAATAAAACATTATTATTATATGCAGAAAAAGACAGAAAATCAGTATATGGAACAACATTGTCGACATAAGCGTGCCAAATACGCTGCTACAAATCGCGAAAGAGCAGTAATAAAGTGGAACAAACAAGACATTTAACCCCAATCATTTGTATGAGGACGGGCCATTGCTCATCACCCCTTCACCTATTTCAAATTAGAGTCAAAGGGGATCCTTATTTTGAATTTGGCCAAGTGGGAATCTTAAACCATATCTTATTAGTATGTCACTCAAATCAAAACCCACATTTTGACTTGTATGCAGAATGATCAAAAACTAAACTTCTCACTACCATAAATATTTGCAAGATCCTCGCAAATATTGATGAAAATATAATAAACATTTTATGTAATTTTATTTCTACCTTCAATATTATAGAAAATATTTCTTTGGGCAGGATTATGATTGTATACCTACCTAAACAAACAAGAAGAAAGCAAGGCTCACTCCTTTAGAGCTTCCACATAAAAAATACAAAATTATTCCATAAAGGTAAGATGACGAATGCACTCCGGAGTCAATAATGCTCAAACACGCACACACATACACATTTTCAATATTATTTTATAAACCATTAACTTTTTTCTTTCAATCCTCAGTGCTTCTACTATATTGTTTGGTAGCATTTCTGGTGTGTGCAAAGCTTGGAGGCTACCCCCGGGCGAGAAAAGTTTCTAGTTTTGTTATGTTATTTGTCTTTCTAACACTTGAGCCTGAGAAGAATTAATAAATATACCGATATAAGTATACATATAGAATAATTCAAAACAAAAAAGATTATGAATATCAGTGTAGGCACGGATTGCTGAGCAAGACAAAAAGTTTATAACTCCGAAGTTACCTGGGTAAATTGTCAAGAACTTATCCCAAAAGAAGAAGAAATAAAATAGGTGTTAGTAAAAATTAATTACAAATTTACAATATTTACCTACAATATTTACCCAACTGGTAACCTATATACATGAATTATTAACTATGCCAATAAGTGTTCAAAATGTTGCCGATTATGTTTTCAAGACACAGTCGTACGCGGTTATTAAAGGACTGTCGAACACCTTGTAGCATTTTAGATCCAAAGCTGGCAAAGGTATTTTGTATATCATTTTTCATATTATCCCGTGTTGTGGGTTCTTATTCATATATTAATTCTTGATGTACCCCAAAAAATTGTCAAGTGGAATTAGTCCTGGAGATCTTGGGGCCATTCCACAGTACCGCTGTATCCAATACCACTATCGTTGTAGTTATTATTTAGCACACGTCAACATTTTTGTACGATACGGTGGTGCTCCGTCATGTTGAAACCACATGTTTCGTCTAATTCCCAAGGCAACTGCCTCTATTAAGACAGATAGCTTTTCTGTTAAAAACCTACAATACTCATTACCAGTGACCGTTCGGTAGAAAAAGCAAGGTCCAATAACATATGATTTAACAATGCCTCCCATAACATTCAACGACTACCTGTTCTAGGACCTGACTCGAAATAGGTGAAGATTTTCATCGCAGTAATGATGACAATTAAATCTATTATCGCACCCATGTAATGTCGATTCGTAAAAAAATAAAATATTTTCCAAAAAATTACATTTCTTCTGCCCACATATAAAAATTCATTCTTCTTTGAAAATCATTTTCATTGAACTCCTGATACAACTGAATTTTATATGGATGGCATTTGTTTTTCTTTATAATTCTTCGAACTGTCGTTGCACTTAACTGTGCATTATTGCTCAATTGGTACATATTTATTTCTGGATTCTCTATTACATGTACCATAATACTATAACTTGAAATTCATTTTAATTGTCTAAAGCCCTTGTTGGTATTAATAATTGTATTAATATTAATGAACAAATGCCATGTCAACCAATTCTTCAGTTGAAAAATTCATCTTTAAATATAAAAATTTGTTACAAAAAATGCAACCACAAAAATATTACTATCTTTTGTGACACAAGTATATACTATTTATTTTAATAAATATTTTGACATATACATTTAACGTTCATTTGTTTCAATGCGTACTTCCTATGTTCTCAGAATGAAGGTATGTACATTAAAAAGTTGTTTAACTGATCTTACTCATAAATACAATTTAACTAACAAAAAATTTAGTAAACGAAAGTTGCTAGGGTAGAAAAATTATTAGGGTAGATTTCAAAATTGGTTGTTTATTTAATTTAATAATTAATTTATGTATATTGATTACATTCTTTATTAGTCTGGTAAATCTTATTTTGTAACATTATGACCTATTTAAAATCAGATTATAGTTCTTTTTTTAAATATTTACAAAACGAATCATGCTAAGTATGTACAACCTTATAATAAAAGGAAGTTTGTAATATTTCCTAAAGAATGCACAAATGCTATACTAATATACAGGAAAAGGAGAAAATTTTGTATTTGAAAATAATGATCACACTGTATATGGTATGGATATAGATGTCAAAGATATTAAATTATTTAAAAATAACAATTAGAAACATTTTTACATATTATTTGCTTCGTTATTACCTTGAAAACCTAATCTATATCCCATTAAAATATTAGCATTTTTCTCAATAAAAATGTAAACCATATTATATTATTTAAAAATTCTTTAATATACAGGGTCTTCCATTTAAAAAAACGCAACTTTGGTTCATTCCGTTGTTTCGACTGACCATATATGTATTCAAATTAATACGATTATATTTTTATCTTTCTTGTTCATTAAATAAATTAATATTCTATGTTGCTCCTCATATCATGTTATTTTCATAAAATACAAGATTGGAAACTTGTATACCTCAGCGTAACAGGTTCCAAATACAGATTTTCATAATATCCCTTCCAAATATAAAATATCTTTTAGGCGAAAGAGTGGAGAGCGAGGACTTGATAAATATTGAAGATGATGAGAAAGAAGAATTCAACAATGAATGGGAAAGTAAAACAAGGAGGTCTGAAATTCCCAGAATAACTGCAGGTTCATCTAGAAATCGTCATGGTTCATATTTACATTCATCCATACCAGCCATAACAGCAGGATCAAGGTAAGATTTTTAATATACATTTTTTTGTTTTATATTTGTGCTATATGTCTTACGTGTACATACATAGGTATAATGTTTTTTTCATAATTAATTCTCTAATGGAGTCAGAGCAATATGTCTATAGCAATCAGCTTTAGTAACCTTATTGGACACAATGTTGTGTTCAAGTTCTTTAAATGAATCTATTTCGATAATCCGAGTTCTTTCTAACATCTTTTAGAGGGTTAAAATTATTGAACTATTATAATGAACAAGTTCAATTATTATTATGTAAATAAACAGTATATGTTCAGGTTTGCTAAAAATGCTAGGTGAAACATTGTACATATATTCCGCTACGAAACTAAGAAGTAACTATATTTGTTTCGTATTTGATCTACGTTTTGTTGCAATTTTTCTTCACCAACGCATTTTCGACAGACCTTCTCACAAAAGAAAGGCTGTTCATGAACCATAAATCGTTCATCATCACCACCATACTTTCTGAAATGCATTTGTTGTTTCTATAATTCATCACCTTGTTTTCTGACATGAACATAACTTTTTCGTTTTTATCTATTAATAATACTTCTCTTATAGCCTTAGATCTCACTCCAGAATCACTAATTCGTAACCTAGTTAATCAAACTCACACTATACATACATTTAAAATTAATAGAATACATAGATAATAGGTTGCCAGTCAAAAAGCGGCACAAATTAATTTTTGACAAAAATTTTATTTCGTTCATTTATTTTTTAAATAAAATACGCTGCTCATGACATATATTCATGTTTTTAAATAAAACCTTTGTCAAAAATTAATTATTATTAATTGAACTAAAAATATTTGCGGCCACTTTTTGACTGGCTGCCGATGATCAATGATTAACTACGTTATGAACGTAGTGATCCTGCAGTGGGATCTTGTACTATTATAGAAAGTTTGTCCTTTTTTTTTTTGGAATCTAGTCAACAAAACCTTTTAGAGGACGAAACTTTATTTTGACGAAAATTTGTTTTTGAAAAAAAAATCTGTCACAAACTCTTCATTTATTGACGCACTTATTTGCTTCTTGTAATTTACTGGGATTGCATTCTTGGATGTGATTCTTCAATGAGTTGACTGTGATTCGTTAATACTATTTACTCAGTTAATCCGCATCCAGTAAGTACACTTAATTAGAGTAATAGAGGATGTAATGTAATATATTTAAAACGACACCTATTTGCATTTTTTATTAAACTTTGTAATGTAGCGATATGTCATCAATGATTAAATCATTGAATTATGTGAAGAGGTCAAGATATCGGGGAGCTGATCATTGAACTTGTTCATTAAACTTCATAAAAAATTAGCATGCCATATAGAATTTTACAATCACTTATATTTTTATAAATGGTGATGACATGATCTATATTTAGAATCTTATTCGCACTTTTTTAATATTTTTTCTAGGAAGTAGTTATACAGTGTGTCCACCGATGGGATGTCTAAAGAAGTGAAATATTTTTATTTTTAGATTAAAATATTGAAAATATAGAAAGTTTTGTTTGTTAAAACTAAACAAAAAAACCTTACATGTAAACACAGTAGATTATTATTACATATACTTCATCTAATTTACTTACCGTTGCACGTCATTATCATTGAAAGTCAGACAGACAAAATCCTGAATCTATTTTAAATCAAATAGGTCACATAATTATTGCAAAATTGGATTATACAACAAAACAAATTAATATTACACACACTAATAATAATAATAATAACATACCTATTATAAGGCGATACCTATTATTATTTCTACCACTGGAGTCATTCCGAAGAACCTCCTAGAAAACATAAAAAAGCTGGGTCTTAATGAACATCTATATAAGGTCATGCAGAAAGCTGTGCTACTTTTGACGTCCAGATGCGTGCGAAAATTTTTAGGAGATACACCGACGTACCAAGTCACCTAGGACTCGATAACATGGAAAGAGTCCCACCAGAGCTCAATCCTTTTGATACCGTAGGTATCTGGGATGAGTGCATTTTCCCCTTAGAGGGAGTGTGAGCCGTATGGCTAAATCTGGATAATAATAGTAATTAATAATACACACTAATTTTGATCTAAAAATAACAGATTTTATTAAATAGGTAAAAATATAAACCAAGAGGTATTCACTTTAAAATTCAAAATAATAAAGTACAAAAAGTGTCAATACCGCAACTGTCAAATAAGTGTTACCAATTTATGCCAAAATATCACCTTCGTTCGATTACAGTTATAGTGTGTTCCAAACAAATGTTTTTCATAAAAAATGCATAAAATGCATTTATAAAAAATTTCATTTATATAAATTATTTGAAACATATTATTGTGCATTTCTTTAAGTTAACATTAACAGAAATCTTTAAATATTATTTCTACGCGTATATAATAAAATATGTCTAGTGGCTGTTGTAATGCCAGTGTACTCGGCAAAGTGATTCTAAAAAAGAACACACCTACCGCCTAAATATTTCGTGTTGGTATCATGTGACCTCACGAGCTATGACGCGGGTAACGTGCAACGGTAAGTAAATTAGATGAAGTATATTTGAACTTAGTGCAAAAATTTATAGGTTTTAGTTGACTATAAAATAAAACAGTTTTTAAATATGGCAGAGCGGGATGTGAGGAGACATAACTTTTTTATCGTCTACGCAGGGAGTGATTGTTTTTAATGTAATTCATTTTATATTATTTTATTTCATTTTATTATATTATTTTATTTAAATTTTATTTATTTTAATTTAATTTATTTTATTTTGTTGTATTTATCATCGTTGTTTATTTGTTTTATTTTATATATTTAGTTTTACTTTATTTTATTTTTATTTATTGGATTTTATTTTATTAAGAAACACACATCGAACTGCGTTTACTACTCTACGTTCATTACATTTGTTTTTATTTTTTCCTACCTATGCACGATCCACCGCGCCGATCAATGCTTTCAATACATTCCGTCCATAGCCCGCGATAAGAAAGCCATGTTTTCAAAAATTGATTTTTGTTTTATTTTATGGGGTTTAAAACAAGAAAAACTCGTAATCAATAATTTTATTTATTATAAAACAGTTTGTCCCTTGGGCAGCTTACTCGTGGACACACTGTAGATTTTAATATATTTTATGTGCACATACATTAAAAATGGTTACACAAAGTGTTCAATTATTAAGTGAATATAGAGAAACCTCAGAAATATTACAGTTAATAGTTTGATACATTGCTTTTATTTATACGATTTTAAGGATTTTTTAATACACTATTATAATCTTCTATTTAGGGTGGAATTTATTCCATCGCTTCACTAACAATTTTATCAGTTTTTTTTTTGTAAAACCATTTATCTTTGTCCTCAAAATATATCAGTTAAGTTATAATTTGTAATGCTCTTGTAAAGTTACAGATTATTTATTTTCGTTTTATTTCATTACATTTTCTGAAACACCCAGTAGAAATCCCGTTAAATATTTATTTCTACTATCCTTGATAATCCCTTTTAAAAACGCTGCTAATATCAACTCTATAATTTAGACCACCTAGAGTTAAAAATCCAAGTGCTCTGAAAATCCCAATCCAAAACCTTTCGTTTACCAAGACAATACATAGTGTCACCATAATGATAAAAAAGTAAATGAATTGCACTTCGAAGTGCTTCCGCACTAACATAGTTCTTCAGGCTAATCACATATACTTATTGGCATTGCAAACCTCAAAAGGAATGAGATTAAGATAAAATGAGGACAGCTTAGTTTCCAGCTGTTCTCCGTGCGTAGAGGTTTTCTCCCCGGCTCTGGAACTCAAAACTTTTTGCAATGTATGTTACCTGAAGTCATATTTAATTTAATAATGAACATCACAGTTTTTTAACAACACGATGTATAATCTTTGATAACTATAAGTAATTTAAAGGGTTTTTACCCATGTATTTTTGGTGGCTCAGGCATTTTAACCTAGCAGATTTTAAACCTGATGATGGACTGTTTAGTCCGAAAACGTTTGTTTTTTTGATGTAGCCCTTTTAAGGGTTTTTAAATAAATATACCCACTTACAAAGACTAACCTCTTTTTTTTTTCTTTTCTAATTTGTTTCGTATTGTCAAGGCGCTGGATGATCTAAAAGATTCACGTGTTTGTGGAACCTGTCTTCATGGTTCTCAGTATACTTAATGATAGTTAAGTTCGTTCAATTTATTCAGTTTGATTCTCACAAGGCTTTTCCAGTTGTTAATTTGGTTCATAGAATTATGTTGCCTGTAAAGAAGATTTGTGAAAAGATAGAGCTGTTAAAAGTTGATGAAAAGAGAGGTAATGGAAAACCGAGGAGAAGATGGAAGGACTGTATGGCGGAGAACTTGAGAAAAAAAAATTAGGACAAGAAGACACGATGGACAGAAATGAGTGGCGAAGAAAAGTAAGAAATAGCGACCCCTGAACGGCTGAGGCAAGAGAAGAAGGATGTACTTACACCTGCTTTATTCTGAAATATCTATGACTTCAATATTGAGGAGAATTACTCTTGGAGACAGGATCGAATTACTGCCTCGTGTTAGACCCTATCAGCTGTCTGAGCCACATCCAAGAACAAATAGTGAGCATACTTTTTATCCTGGACCTTCTTTGCTTTCTCCAACTCTAAATTGGCGTAACGGTATCAGGTATTTTGCTATTACTGGTTTAAGCCATCTTAAGCAAAAAATTTCGTATAGTTTAGATATCATTAGCAGTATTTACTTTTTAATTTTTCGAGTCCTGACTCTTATCTAATTCTAATTGAGGTTCTCATCCCAGTAACGGGCCACGTCGATTGTTTCATCGCCGACCAACCATAGTTCATTAAAGACGTTTATTTGCACATATTATTTTAATAATTCTATACTCATTATACTGTGAAACAATTCAGTTATTGACCTAGTAATTTTAATTAATTTGTTTACTGGTATTATTAAACAATAGAATTATTTTTTCGTCGTTTTTTTTTCGTAA